CAAATAAAAAATAATGTCAATGGAATTATTTCCATACTGAGTATATCTATCTGGGCTAACCCTTTGGTTAAGTAAGAACTGAGAACAGCTTTGGGAAATAGCTCGGCGGAAATGTAGTCGTGTTTTTGTCACAGTAGGTCTACCGCGACCACGTTGCATGATCGTGCTTGAAGTCAAGCGTTTTCAAAGAGTCAGTGAGTGAGCTTACGTAGTTAGCTTCGTGTTCGAGTAATGACTGGATTACTCGTACACGAAGCTAAGATGCGGACATTGACATAAGTACATTTATTTAACATTATAATTTTCGTAATGTAAATTAAAGTATTACTGGGTTTTTTAAAAATTCTCAGTGGTAACACGGAGCCCGGTATTGTGCCCGGTATATGGCAATAGGCTCACCCCCTAATACACGGGACTCATAACATGAATAGTGAAAAGTGGGTGTCACATTGTACAATGGCATAAGTTTCGCAATGTGCAACTCTGTCTACTCCTACGGGGATAAAAGGCGTGATGTTTTAATGTTCGTGAGACATTTTAAATTAATTATTACGTTTTCGGCTTCTGAGTAATAATTATTACGTGAACAAACCGAAAAAAATATTTCGTTACTATAAAAAAACTTATTGACACGAATTTTAGTAAAGGGGCACTTACATAGGGAAAACGTAATTATAATATGCGACAAAACATAATGTTTTTTTCTGAAACTGGACACAGTTAGTTACAGGGCATGCGTTTCGTCCTGTGATAGCAATCTAACTGTGTACTGACCGACAATTTCAATCAAAATTGATGGTTGTCCATCCACAAGGTAGACGAATGGCCTAGTTAAAGTAGCAAGGAGCCGCTGCTGGATGCAGGTCGCTTCCAACAGGTGTTATATATTCCTATAGCCTGTGTTCAGCAGCAGATGTTTTGTGGCTGATAATTATCATGACGATGATAATATTGTTTCCATATTCCATGAATGTTCTCATTACTTCCAGATGCGGGTGTTCCCATTTCTACTGGCGGCCACAATAATGCTGGCCGACTGTGCAGATATACTGCCTGCCTGCCGTAAGCGTGTCTACTGCAACAGCGAGCTTCTGCATCTAGTCCTATTAAATAGGGTCCATGAGGACCCTAAGGAATTCATCGATCTCCGCATGAATTATGATGAAAACAAAACATTAAGTGATTTCGAGAAATTACTCAACTCAAATAACAACGACCTGTCTAAGGATAAGTTGAAAGAATTTGTAAACGAATACTTCTCTACAGACAGCGGAGTAGAAAAATGGATACCACCAGATTTCAACAGTGATCCTGAATTCTTAAATGGTATAGAAGATGAAACTTTAAGAGACTTTGCCAAAAGCATTCACAATTTTTGGCCTCATTTAGCCATCAAAGTCAAAGATGACGTTGTACAAAACTCTGATCGCTATAGTTTAATTCCTGTCACTCATGGATTCTATACTCCCGGAGGGTTATTCACAGAGATGTATTACTGGGACTGTTATTGGATTGTCAAAGGTCTGCTAGTAAGTGGAATGCAAGAAAGTGCAAAAGGAGTAATTGAGAATCTTTTCGAACTTGTAGATAAGTTAGGACACGTACCCGCTGGAAACAGATGGTATTATGAGAGACATAGTCAGCCGCCATTGTTGACTGAGATGGTTGCTACTTATTACAGTCACACTAACGATACAGAATTTATCAGGAACAATATCGAATACTTGGAAACAGAAATCAAATTTTGGTCTACTGAACGATCATTTAACATTACAAAGGACGGCAAAAATTATACGGTACTTAGATATTTTGTTCCCGGTGCTCGTCCGCGACCTTACTCGTATTATTTTGATAGTGAGCTGATAGAAGACTCTAGTGAACAATATAGCATAGAAATTCTTAATGGCATTTGGAGTGCATTTGAGAGTGGTTGGGATTTCTCATCGCGATGGTTTATCAATCCTGTTGCGAATGCAAGTGCATACCCTAGAAAAAACACTCGCACCATGTACTTTATCCCAGTCGACTTGAACGCAATCATCGCTAATGCTATCCAGCATATTGCAAACTTTCACACTGATTTAATGAATACGGATAAGGCACACACATACGCACAATTGGCGCAACAATGGAGAGACACCATTCAATCGGTTTTCTGGAATGAAGAAGATGGAATATGGTACGACTATGACTTGATAAACCATACACAACGAAAATATTTTTACACTTCGAATTTCGCACCTCTGTGGCAGTCTGCTGTAGGATTGGATTTTGTGAAAGATAAAGAGGAGAAGATTCTAGACTATCTCGTTAATTCCGAGGCTTTGGATTATCCCGGGGGAGTGCCTATTTCTATAATAGATTCTGGAGAACAATGGGACTTCCCTAACATGATTCCATCATCTGTTAGTGTTGTGGTAGACGCTCTTGAATACATTGGAACGGACGAAGCGAAGGACATTGCTTTTAAAATTGCGGAAAAATATTTTAGGGCTTGCCAAGTAAGCTTTAGACAGTACAATGCTTTATGTCAGAAGAATAATGTTGAAAGAATCGGGGAATGTGGTGATGGTGGTAGATGCCCTTCACAGGTTGGTTTCGGATGGTCTAACAGTTTGGTGTTAGAGTTCTTAATGAAATACAAAAATATGACTGCTAGCGATTTAAGTGACCTGGTGGCCATTACTCCTCTTGCTCCCTATAGCGAAAGCCCGAATAATAGCGTAGTAAATAGCTTCGCAATAGTCAACTTCATCATAATTTTGGTGATAACTTGTAAAAATTTATTGAATTAGAGCTAATTTTAAGTAAGGAAGTTTGTATTTTCGTCATTTGGTGCAAATGGACAACATAATAATGTAATAGTGATGTGAAAACAATTTGTAAGTGATTATCAGCGATTGTGAATTATTACTGATAAATTGATTGCTTGACTGTTTCTTTTTATTCCCTGGAGAAGTAATGCAGGTGCAATTAAACTGACTTTTTTCGATACGTTGAGCCTTTTCTTTTTTTAAGGGAAAAAAATATGGAATGACTTCTCCCGCCTGAGTAAGCCCGAGCTCCGGTAAACTTTTACATTCTCCACGGCTCCATATCGGCATCAGCTCTATTGGCCCCCATCCATGGGGCCTGGTGGTCTGATGGCTTGGTTCTGGTCGGTCGGCGAGCTACCCACACTCGCCATCCTCTCCCGAACTAGGGCCGGCCGCGAGTGGTCGCCGTCGCCGATCACATCCCTGAGGGCACGGCCGTGCTCAGCCCATGCACGGCATGCCCCCACCGTATACTCAGGGCGGACCTTGCAGTGATGACACCCGGGCGTTTCGTCCCGCCCTATCAGACACAGGTACCTCCCGAACCTCTCATGTCCGGTAAGCACCTGCGCCAGGCGTTAGATGAGGTCCCCATAGCGTCTATCAAGACACTCTTCAAAGAGGGGTCTTACCACTGAAATGGCAGCAAGCCCAATACTATGTAATATTTTATTTTCTATTAAATACACGGAACAGAAAAGTTCCATGGTAGTTACATGTTTGGACAAGTGCATAGATAATGCATAAATAATAAATTCAATATGCACAATTCAATATCTCCCTTCTCCTGAAAGCCGGTGTTGTGGTTGTCTATTCGTGCTTCCGCGGGCGCGCTGATTGCTTACCATGGCCATAGCATCGGGAGATCCCTCGGCTCTTTTGCCCTTTCCCACAAAATAAGCGAAAGAAGAATGTCAGAATCATGACATTTGGAGTTCTGTCGCCTCTGTCCACCCCTCAAACCAACAAACTAAAACAACACTCCTCTGGGACATTATTTTGTATTATTGCTTGTTTTTGCGCCGGACGCTCCAGCAGCTGTAGCCAAACGCCACTTTAGTGCTTGTCTACAGAGAGAGTAGAAAACTAAATGTATGGGGATGACACTGAAAAGTGTCAAAATTTACGTCAATTCCATATAATTTGGTTTTGTATTCTACATGTAGACAAGCGCTAAATGGCATTTGGCTACAGCTGCAGATATGATATTGTAGCGACATCTATGTATAGCGTGTTGGGTGTGGCGGAAATGAAATTACGGTAGTGTTTTTGTAATAATGGTCTAGATGGCGTTTACTTATATTCAGAATTTTATATGTAACTATTTACCTTTTCTAGACAAGAACTTAGAGTATTTAATTAAATAATCTAATGACTAGAATGATGGATCCCCTTTCCTCTCCAAAGGTTGGCAACGTACTTCTAACTCCTCTGTTGTTGCGGGTCTGACATGTTGGCTACTACTTTAATATTAATGGATAAAAGTTATAGGGTACAATAGGATTTCGGTAGAAATGTTAAACGTTCAGTATACCTCTATAATTATTCTTTCATTTGTTTATTTAAAATCTTCTGAAAATTACATATTTAAATACTACGTTAACTAAAATTAAAATAATATTTATAAATACAAAAAATAGGAATCAATCGGTAACGGGAGCATGGTCCAAGCTACCGGTGGTTAGGGCTCTAGAGACAGAAACCTCATAATCACAATACGAGCCGTTTCTAGGAGAACTGCCTTCTTCTTAATTATTATTAATAGGAAGTTAGGTGATTAACCTTATGCTGCTTGTGCACAATATTTATAAATATTCTTATATTATACACTTTTATTGTGTTTAATTGAATAGCATAGACTTATAAACCAAGTTCATAGGCCATCAAGTAGGAAATTAATGACTATGTATTGTACATACGTAGACATTACACTATGTATTATTATTAATAAAGTTAGTAAATACACATTCAATTTTAGCTCGGAAGTCCCTCGGAAAAATTTTTCATAATAAAAAAACTTGCGCAAAAATATTGGTTTTAATCTCGGAACAATAATGCTTTAGTTATTGTTCCGAGGTTTTAATATAGGTCAATCAAGTCAGGTCAATGGCTTGTGACGTATTTTACGCATGCGTGTAGACACCGACGATCATAGATACTGGATATTTATGTGAAACATAGACAACATAATGTCAGTGCAACGTGACAGTTCGTGTTATGACTTTGAGAGAAGGGAACGTATTTATGTTTATTTTGGGTACCAAATGACCTTGTATTATATCGCGTGTGTCAGTGTAATGTAAATGATATCAACAGCCGCGGTAGTAAGAGTGCTCGAACTACCAGCTGATATGGGTCGGCGACCTAACACACAGTCATCGAAACGTGTTCGCGACAACCGATCGTGATGATGCACGAAATGCATTTAATGAGTGTTGCTCAGATTTGCGGCCACTCGCCCCGCGTCAGGTCGCGTCGTTGTACGCTGTGCGCTCAGACATTGCGGTTATCGCGCATTCCCCCGCACTCGCCAGTAAGTGTTCGGCAGAAACTGTGACAGTGAATAGCAATGTTCAAGATATGTTTACCGCGGTACGTGCCGCTGTACCCGGTGCTCGGCCTGCTCGGTGCGTGCGCGCATGCTATCAACATCGTCTCCGTCTGCAACTCCTCCATCTACTGCGCTGGAGATCTACTCCACACGGTGCAGTTCGCCAGAATATTTCCTGACTCGAAGACATTCGTCGACCTAAAACTCACACATACTCAAGATGTAACTCTCGCCAATTTTAAAAATCTTATGAAGCAAACAAGGAATAATCCAAATCGTGAGCAAGTCTTGGCATTTGTCGATGCAAACTTTATAGAAGGAGATGAGTTGCTTAACTGGAACCCTCCAGATTTTGACCCTCATCCCCCTATTCTCAAACAAATTGTAGACCCCAAGCTAAAGCAGTTTGCTCAAGATATTGTCAGCATTTGGCCAAACCTTGGCCGGAAAGTATCTCCGGATGTAGATAAGAACTCGGATCAATACAGTTTTATTTATGTGCCCAACGGATTTATTGTTCCTGGTGGCAGGTTCAAAGAGTTATACTATTGGGACTCGTACTGGATTATACGCGGTCTCTTGATTAGCAATATGACACAAACTGCGAAAGGGATGATCGAAAATTTCTTATATCTTGTGGATAAACTAGGCTATATACCCAATGGAAGCCGAATTTATTATTTAGGTCGCAGCCAACCACCTCTCTTGTCCCTAATGGTCCACGACTATTACACTACAACTGGTGACGTCACCTGGCTCGAGCAGATTGTAGATACAGTAGAGAGAGAGTTGTACTATTGGTTGGAAAAGAAGAAAATGACGGTTAATGTGAACGGTAAACAGTACAGACTTTTGCGTTACATTTCGGATGAAGAAGATAAAGGGCCTCGTCCCGAATCGTATTACGAAGATTATGCTAACAGTAGAGTATTGTCGGAAGACAAGCGTGAAGAGTTTTACAAGGAAATGAAGAGTGCGGCAGAGAGCGGTTGGGATTTCTCATCCAGGTGGTTTGTGAATGCAAAGAATGTGACTACGGACAACTTGACCGACGTCCACACATCACGTATTCTCCCCGTCGATCTGAATGCTATGTTTGCTGGCGCCTTACAAATTATGGGAGACCTTAGATATCAACTTAAGGATAGACGTAGTGCTCAAAAATGGTGGAGTTTGGCGAAATACTGGAGAGTTGCGATTGAGAACGTATTGTGGGACCCGGACGATGGTGTTTGGTATGATTATGATACCACGGCAAAGTCACGAAAGAAACAATTTTACGCAAGCTGTGCTACTCCTCTCTGGGCCAATGCTGTAGAGACGTCGAGTGCGCCTACATACGCGTCCCACTTAGTTACGTATTTACAATCAAATAGTGCACTGAGCTTTCCCGGCGGTATACCGACTTCGTTGTTGCACACAGGTGAGCAGTGGGACTTTCCTAATGCTTGGCCGCCTCTTCAGAGTATCATGATTGGTGGTTTAGACAAAAGTGGCAATGAGGAGGCGAAAGAGTTAGCAAGGGAACAAGTGGCAATTTGGATCCGTGCAAATTATATAGGTTATACTAAGTGGCAGAAGATGTTTGAGAAATACAGCTGTGTGCAGCCGGGGGACCACGGGGGCGGTGGCGAGTATTCCGTCCAGTCTGGGTTTGGGTGGACAAATGGAATCGTTTTAGAGCTTTTACAGAGATATGGGAAGGAATTGAGGCTAGATGAAGGAAATGATGGTCTTCCGACCGTAAGAATGGTGTAGCGAAATCATTTTGTATCGATCAATGCAAGATAAAACCTTAGTTTTAAGAAGAAATGGCATGTCTCTCTGGTATTGTCTCTGTCACTTAATTATTGAGTAAAGTGGGCTTAGTGTCGTCTTTCGTGCGTTTAATTCGCCCTCTGCTAATGAAATCCTAGCCGGATTTGACAATGGTATGTATTGTCGCATCTAAAACGAAACGTGTTTTGTGAAATGTGAAACTAATGTTGTACCTATAGGCTTGTCTTGAACTTTCTTCGTACCTACTTAATTTTGTATTTCAACAAGGTTTCTATTTATTTTATATAGTAATAAAATCACCCTAACAATGTGCAAGTTTGTGTTTCTCGTTTTATTTTACCTACTCGATGTCTATCGATAAGTGTCAGGGTTTTAATTATTCCTGTAACTATAGTAAGTTCATTGATAGCTTTTCAATTATAGCACTCGCCTATTGTAGATCGGTAAAGAAAGTAACATAACAAACTATTTGTACCTATATTTTGTAAGAAATATGTATTTTTACTTCGAATAAATCATATTTTTATATGTTGATTGTTTTAATTAATTGTTTATCAGTTTATCACGTAGTGTCTGCCTCGTCTGTCTAGTGGTCGCAAGTGCGACTGCTGGCAAGGAGTCTCGGGTTCGGTTCCCGGGTTGGGCAAAGTATTACTGGTTTTTTTTTTTAATTTTCAGTATTAGCACGGAGTGCCGTGACTGCCTCATTGGCCGTGTGGTCAAAAGTGCGACGCCGGGCAAGGGGTCTTGGGTTCGATTCCCGGGTCGGGCAAAGTATTACTGGGTTTGTAAAAACCTCACTAGTAGCACGGAGTCTGGAATTGTGCCCGGTATATGGCAATAGGCTCACCCCCTATTACACGAAACTCATAACATAAATAGTGAAAAGTGGGTGTTACATTGTACAGTGGCATTAACTGCCGTAATATGCACCACTGCTTAACCCTTCAGGGATAAATAAGCGTGATGTTGTAAGTTATTTAATTTCTATATTTAATAGTTTCAGTGCATTAATAAATATTTGATGCTTCGTTCATATAAAACAATTAGCAGACAGTACAGTAGGTCATGATCATAATTAATTATATTGCAAAACAATTAAACATGATACTTAGGTACGTAGTTTTCGTAAAATTCCAAAGTGACATGCGCGGTGTGAGCTAACACAGCACAATATTCAAATAACATGAATAAGCTGAAAAGATATCAAGCACTTAATTAATTGTAGGCACCTAAATATGAAGAAAACTAAGTTTTGCCCGCGTCGTCGTGTGCATAATAACATAGTTTCCCATAGAGCATGTGAGTGCCTTGTTGTACAACATTTAGGTTGAAACCTCCTTTAAAACTACATGTTTTGCGATTGAGACTACACTATGTTACAACGAATTGGGTACTTACTTTCTATTATTTCGACTGTTCAATACAATAAAATATTAAACTGTCATACACCAAGCGGTCACCGGTGACCGCAACCTATTGTTCTATAATTGTATCTGTAGTGACGGTACTCGACGAGTTAAAATATAATTACACTTATATTAATTGATTTTATGGCCAACTCAATTTTAGTATTTGTGTAGTATTTTTTTAAGAAACTAGCTTCTGCCAGTGGCTTCGCCCGCAATCCCAGGAGGAAAATGCCAATGTATTTATTACTTCAGACCATACTCTACTTCTATTCCGAATTTCATTCTGGTGTAATGGAGTAACTTCTCCCGGTTTCCCAATATTTCCCTTCACTGCTCTGCTCCTATTGATCGTAGCGTAATGAAAAGTATACAATAACCTGCCCAAGAATATGAAGAAAAATTGTGCCAAATTTCGTTAAAATCCGTCGAGTAGTTTTTGTTTCCATAACGAACATACAGACAGACAGACAAAAATTTTACTGATTGCATTTTTGGCATCAGTAGCGATCCCTAACCACCCCTTGATAGTCATTTTTTAAATATATTTTATGTACAGAATTGACCTCTCTACAGATTTATTATAAGTATAGATGAGTATGCAGTTTGACGCTATAAAAACGTGACGTCACAATACACAATTTCGTACAAAATTCATAGAAAACTGTCGTTTTTGACAGTTCGAAAAAGTATTGAATTTGATTAGTTGGCAATTGCGACGCACAGTAATACGAATCTGTGATATATGATGCTACATTTACACTCTCGACTGAGCGGACACGAGGTTGAGCTACATTGCAGTTTTATAACGCGGGAAGCACTACAACTCTTTTAGAATAACGACAATGTATATCGGCCTCGTCTCGACTCGCGCGAGAGTGTAATGTAGCATTAGAATTAATACATTAGACAAACAAACAAACTCAGGTTTCTTGTTTGTACAGTTTAATATACATATATTGGTAGCGTACGAACTAAATAAAATGTATTTTATTTATGCACATTATATACTGACAACGCAAACGAGAATCTCACGGGTAACCGGGGCTCCGGCTCGACGTGCAGGAGAAGGAACGGGGTGGTTTTTAGTCAGTAAGAGTCTGACACTCCCTCCCGCCGTACCCAGGTGGGAGCAGTCATTCGATGACTTTCCGATTTTACGTCTCCACCAAAGCAGGCTCATTAGTAAATGGAAAAAGAATAAAAGGTTAAAGTAAATCCACCCCTTTGCTGAACGGGTAGGATCAATAACTACATAACGTCGCCAAAGAGTTATAGGCAGAAGAGGAACGTTAGATATTATAATAGGGGTGAGCTTTTTGCCATAATTATTTCAGAATTACTTATCTATTTTGTCTAGTAATTCGATTTGACCTCATCGTTCGAATAAAAAACTGATGAGTAAAAGTGCTGCCTTGTAGCCTATTTGCAGAAATAAATTCACTTGTTTCGCTCGTTATTGCATTAATACACTTTATGTTATCTATATTAAGATTTATTTTGGGAATAAATTTTAGGGTGTTCATCGAATGCATTACGTTTTCATGTTTTTATAGCAGTAGGTATACCTACTGCAAAATGAAATGGCTAATCAATAGATATTATTCTAACAATTATAACAATTGTCAATTATTAATAAATTTGTGTAAATAGTTTTACTTTCAAAATCCTGTCATAATAAATAATACATTGATAATAATTTATCAACAGAGACACGATAACTAGTAAAATACGCGTTGCTTTGAAAGAGAGGGGACGCTTTCTCGAAGGTTTAAAGGAACACATCTGAATCATTATTAATAATCAATATAAATGTTTCTTTTTATATTTAATTAATCTTAAAAACACATAAATGCTGGAATGTGCATTAAAGCTCGTAGGTTTATGCTAAATTGTAGTAAGTAGTTGTGTACAGTCAAAAGTCAAAAGTCCACTGCCACCGTAAGTGATGTTCACACGGCAATGCGTAAGTAATTTCATATTAATGTGAAAACTGATAAAAATATGCGTGTGCATGTGTGTATAGTAGTCTTACGGTGGACTTTTGACCTTTGACCGTACATAATTATATGTAGGTATCTACTTACATAAAATTCGATATAACTAATGTAAATACTTAGGTACCGTACAATACAATGCAGATAAAACAATTTAAATATCTTATTTACCTATATCATTTTCAAAGCACATTATTTACTTATACTTACATAATGACTAGTACCTATAGCTGTACTGAAAATTCAAGGCCCGATTTTTCAATCATCACTTAATTCTTAACTATAGAATAAAATTGATATTTGACAGTTTTAAGTATGGAAGAATTGTCAATGGTTCAAAGTTATTCCTCAGTTAAAATTTATTACTGGCGTTGGAAAAATCAGCCCTAATAATAATAGAATATTGGACTCTGTATAATCACTATTAAGTTTCCTCTTGAAAACAAAAACAATTTAAAACTTAGGTTGTATATCTTACTAACTTGGTGTAAAATGTTTGATAAAATCTATGTGCTATTTATTATCTATATTTGGGGGCTTAGCACGAGTTTGTTTTACGGTCACCGTTACCGCGTACGGAGCGTTGATTGGCCTGTTCAAATTAACCACCCGATTAGAGGGTTAAGCGCTGTAACGTTTCAATCTCATTAATCGTACAAACTCGTACTAGGCTCTTTGGGAACATTCACTATTCAGCCTTATTCAACCGCGTCAAAGTCACAATCACTCGCCGGTGTCACGTAGGGGAGTTCCATTTGTGTACCGAATTCTGCTTCCAACAAAACTTGTTGTATTTTGAGTCTCGCTAGCGCGTTTTGTTTGGCGTTTAGCCGTTTAAGGGTGGGGGCGCAACTGATGAGGAATAGTTCATCAGGGTCTGTTCTATTGTTGCAGGAACAAGATGTTGCTTCTTCGTCCGTGGAGTTCTGACGAGCTTTCTTAGGGGAAGGTTGGGAGTCCTCTTCATCATCATCGTCGTATTTGTTGTCCTGGCTGTAGGACAGATCTGGTAAGCATTGTATGGCTCGCTGCCGCATTTCCTCTTCACCGTCCGAGTCCTCTGCTTCCTTTTTGTTAATTGCTCTGTGGACGACAAATTACAAACTGTTTATCCTATTGGGCTAATTAGCGTTGTTAAAATATAATCTAATAATTTAGCTCATGTTTTTCTGAGAAATTGCACAGATGTAAATTAAAAAAAAAATTAGAGATTTGAAATATCGCATGAGGTGACTTTTGAGTACGATTTATACTTTAAACTGTCAAACACCAAGCGGTCACCGGTGACCGCAACCTATTGTTCTATAATTGTGTCTACAAAACCGGTACTCGACGAGTTAAACTGTCAAACACCAAGCGGTCACCGGTGACCGCAACCTATTGTTCTATAATTGTGTCTATAATGACGGTACTCGACGAGTTAAAATGACGTAGCTACCTCCTACTCCTAAACTTTCATTCGTTTTACCTAAGTATTGTTTTCCTATAAGTACGGTAAAATAAAAAAATACGTGTCTAATATTTTATCATTACCCTAACTGACGGACTAACTAGATTTTTAATTTTCATACCCTGTCATCATCCCTATTGTGAGTATCTACGATTGCCGAGCAAGGGGTCTGGTTTGGGTTCGACTTCCACTTAGTTTATCACAATTTAGCGTCTCACATTCTTCGAGGAGTTAAGCCAGCATTAACTGTGATATCCACTTTTTGTTAATCTTTTTACCAGTTCGGGGGACGGATATTAGCTGTTGCCCGCGAATTCGTCCGCGTAGAATATGAATTTTGCATTAATTTTTGGTTTCAATTTGCCAAAATAAAAGTACTTAGTTTATGTTACTCCTTAGTCCATCAGCTACCTGCCAATCAAGTCTTGCTAAATCGGTCCAGCTACTCTAGAGATTAGCCAGTACTCTAGGATTAAACTAAACTTACTCTAGGACAAATAGACAGAGAGAAAAAAATTGAAAAAAAAAATTTGGTATGGGTATCGTATGTATATTCATCTGCATGTAGTAAACAGTGGTTATTTTAATATCACAAACAGTCACTCCGATTTTATTTATCTGTATAGATAACATAACATCACGCCTTTTATCGTCGAAGGGGTAGGCAGAGGTGCACATTATACGACTGTACAATGTGACACCCAATTTTCACTATTTATGTTATGAGTCCCATGTAATAGGGGGTGAGCCTATTGAATAGATGTATAGACTACAAATTAGTAAGTAGCAACACAGCTTTAGGAAATTTGTAAAATTTTCCCCATTTTAAACTTTGTAAGTATGTACCTACCTAAATAAATACAAGATGGATATAAGTAAAATATTTACCCGTTGTCCTTAGTCTCTATGTGCGGCAGTAGGAACCTCATGGCCTGATGGTAAGGCCACCTCGTGCGACCTCCGTGCGTCCTCTGGAGTTTTATGAACGAATCGCGAAGGGACCTCCATCGTTTCTTGCATTCCGATTCTGAAGAAGAATTAATAAAATATCTGTAGGTACAAAAAACTGATGACAGCTCAACTTTGTATTTTGAACATTATGTCGCTTGCAATAAAGTTGAAATTCTAACAAATGGTTTTGACAGTTTAGTTTAGTAGCTTAGGTACCTACCTATGCTAGTGTCTGTAGTTGGGCTGAGGGGCAGTGACGATGGCAATAAGGGTGAAAGAAGTTTAATTTTTTAATGAAAGTGAATTTGTTGTTGTCATCTCAGCCTTTAGCCAAACGCCCTCGGAACAATTACTAAATTATTGTTCCGAGCAAACGCCACTTTAGAACTTTATGGGTTAACTATATGGGGATGACACTGACAAGTGTCAAAATTTACGTCAATTCCTTATAAATTGATTATTTATTCTCCATGTAGACAAGCGCTATATGGCATTTGGCATAGTCTGTAACTCTGTACCTATGTATATATACCTACATATAATACCTTGAGCAAATTCGTTGAAAACTTCCTTAATTTAGGTGATATTAAAAACTTGGTAAACTAATTACATTGACACTTACCAGAAACATGTAGCGATTGTTGTACTTCCTTCCATGCGTCGTCTCTGAGCTTAGTCTTATTGAAACCACTCACAGATTTGTCATATAAAATTGGTCGCTTTTCTACCTCCTTGATTAAATCAATTTCATTCATATTCTTTTTCTTTTTTTTTAATAGACTGTATAACAAATTCCCTTGCGTACAGATGATCTAGAGAGGTTATTCACCGGAATATTTACCTACTTATTTTTTTATTTAGTTTTTTTTGTAACCTTGTCACTAACTAACCTATTGATAATAAATAATCAGCTATTTGCTAAAAATATTAGCCGTATATAAGGTAATAATAGTCGTATATAAGCTAATTCACTATTTCGTTGTAAACATTTGGTCCACGTCAACACGAGTTGTTTTTGTTTGCAAATCACTTTGATATACTATCACTTTTTTAATTTGAGGAATGCAATTGAAAGGGCGGTGTTTTCCTTCAATGATACACGATGACGGACTGATGGGGAAATGGGGTGGCTGGGATCTGAAGGCCGGGGCAAGGTGACGCACGGTACGCGCGCGCCGCGCGTATCGAGCGGCGCGGCCGGTGCGGCGCGCTGCGGCGGCCGCCCCTACTAACTTCGACTTATTGATTTTGCTGATTAGGAAACAAGTGAATGGGGATAACTATGTTATTTGAGTGTTACATTACATTTACTCACATCATATAATCAAACTTGATTTTTAACGACGATCGACGTAGATTTATCTGCCATTTAAACAGGTCGATCCAAGTCTGCCAACTTTTTAGGTAGGTCACAATATTAATCTACTTAGTGCACAAAAGTTTTTTTCTAAATTGTTCATTTGCAATGGGTAGTTTGAAAAATGCTCGACTAAACTGTATATTTTAAATCATTAAGACATTTTGTAGGTAATATCTTAGTCTTTTATTACCTACCTAATAAAACTTAACCATGTTGGCTAATTAGCATTTTTTCGTATTTTTACAAAAATACTTTTTGATTAGTGTTTAATTAAGTATAGGTACATACCTAAGTATTTCTAACTCGTTACTAAAGTTTAAACACCCAGTAATATTCCATGTTACTAAATTAAAACGATTAGGTATAGGTACTTATAAGATTGTATAGGTAGGAATTTGTAGATGAGGCCCATGGTCCAGCTGTAGATTCTTTCGTGTGTCTAAATACGGATCCATGCGAGACAGTCAAGCGGTTATACTATGTTATTGAATTTCTAAATATATATTGTCTTTATATTTTTAAAGTTTGAAAGAAAAAAGTATCTACCTAGGTTTATTTTTTATAACGCGATGGAAATCCCCATGAACTTCCCACGTCGTGGGGACGTGTGCCGGACTCTTACCGGTTAAAACCACCGCGGTATATTCCTCCTTTGCCTGTGGTCGTGACGGGACGCCCTTGCAGTAGCGTAGTCACCGCACCATCTACGTAGGAGGTTCACCTCATTACTATCTACTGTACCTAACGAAGTATAGCTGTATTAAAATAAACATTTATAGGTAAGTACTATTCCTACTGAAATAAATTATTATTATTGTTCACTTATCTGTTTATAGGAAAACAACAGACATCAAGTTTCTGATGACGAAGTGTGCATGCATAGATCGCATGGAAATGACTAATTGCTTACTATAACATAATATTATTTACTATGCGCCATAGCTATGTAGATAAGTACCTACAAATTTAATATCATCATCAACCATTCAGTATAATAATTTTTTCAGGCACTGTTCCGGATACTACGTTTCTGTAGTGCGTCAGCAATGTTTGCTGATGCTCACACCGATGGATTCGCTTCTTTATGGCTCAAAAAGAACGCCTCGCTCATCAGTCGCCTACGTGGAAGTCGCCATCGTATCCTGACTGCTATAGTTGATAGACATGATCACGCCCGCCGCTAGCATTCGAGCGCCCGCGTGCAAATACCGATTATGCCGTTCCCCTTTTTGTAGTTTGGGTACAAAGTCCTCATATTACTCTTGACGAAGTGACTCCTACAACTCTCACTAACTAAAAACCACCCCATTCCCTCCAAAACTTGCTCAAAGCCAGGGCCCTAGAGCGACAGCCTACCCTCCAGCAAAGCAACAATCCTGGTGGGTCCGTCTGTGGTGTCTGATGAAGTAATGACTCTTTGAGGCCTGCATTTTAAATGACGCGCCGTACGCTCGAGTCTGTTACGTGTCAGGACAGGGTGATCCTTGCTTGCCGTCCGCAGACTCGCGCTTACGGTGGCGGAGATGGCGACGCGATACTACACCAAAAGCGTCTCCTGCGGCAGAGATATCTCGAAAATGTAAGAAAACATTCGATAGATTTCGAGTAAGTCCAGATAGTAATCGAGGACGATCGACAGTGATCGAGGACGTTCGACAGTTTTCGAGGACGTTCGACAGTTTTCGAGGACGATCGAAAGTGATCGAGGACGCTTGAAAGTGAACGAGGACGCTCGATAACTTTCGAGGACCCTCGATAGTTTTCGAGGACGCTCGACAGTTTTCGAGGACGCTCGAAAGTGATCGAGGATGCTCGAAAGTGATTGAGAACGCTCGATAGTTTTCGAGCACGCTCGAAAGTTTTCGAGGACGCTCGATAGTTTTCAAGGACGCTCGAAAGTGGTCGAGGACGCTCGAAAGTGATCGAGGACGCTCGAAAGTGGTCGAGGGTGCTCGATAGTTTTCGAGCACGCTCGAAAGTAATCGAGGACGCTCGATAGTTTTCGAGGACGCTCAATAGTTTTCGAGGACGCTCGATAGACTTCTACTGACCGGTATAGGGCCTCAAACGACCACACAACGCTAATATTTCTTGCGTCAAGTGGGATTTTTTCCCGGCGATTATATTTTCTTATGCTTTCTGCTTACTCTGGACAATGATTTTGAATATTAGGTAATGAGTCACTCGATTTGCCGCCCCCATGATCGTGCGCCCGTGTGCTGTGCACGCTTTGCACGCGCGCTTACGGCGGGCCTGGATATGATTGTCCATTGATGTGGAAATTATTGCAGCGGACTAAGTCCCTGTTTACTATTGCATATTAATATTGTACCTCTATGTATATAGTTATGTTTGATTGTGTTCTTTCTTTACTATTATTTTGATGGATCTCAGGAATCTTCATAAATAAACTATTATTATTATTAACAGCCCAGACGCCGACTGTTGGACTATGGGTCTTCTGAATGACGCTAAATACATAATAGTTAGGCAATTCGATTAAAACGAATTCGAATCAAACTCGGCATGCCTTAGCCGGTACTCATGCACAGCCTCCTGGACCATCAAAACAGTCAGACGGATAGTGCAGCCACCTTGTATAATAAAACTACACCATTGCAGGACATAAATAATTATATTTTGTAATCAAATACAATAAATAAATAATAAACATGATCTTACAAACTAATTAGGTAACTTGTAACTCTTTCTTAATAATATCAGTCATTTATTATTTTAAATAATAACGTTACTTAAGTAAAGTATTAATACTGTAATTATAAATGTACTTAGTAGGCCCTCCGCTAGCTGTTTGGGCACCAGCACAGGGCACCAGCGTGCAACCATCGATTATGCTGAAATAAATTATATCTTAACGTTACCGAGGCGCGGAGAACGTAAAAGCTTATCGGGGCTCCTGCTCGAAGTGCAGGAGTAGGAACGGGGTGGTTTTGAGTCAGTTAAGAATCTGACACTCCTTCCCCCTTCATCCAGGCGGCAGAACACATTCGATGACTTCTCCCATTAAAAAAATATTCGTTTTCACACAAGGCTTTTCTCCTGTGTCGTTAGTGCGTTTACAAATATATATAATTTCACATATCTACATATACTTGGGTCACAGCTTTCAATTAAAATCCTGGCAAATGTTTTAAAATTAATGACCACCTTTTTGTAGATGGCGAAAAGAAAAAAGATTTTGGAAATCTAAATTAAGAATTAATCGAACTTGGAATGTAAAATACGCAGTTATTAATTTAAAAAAAAATCTTTTGCAGCCCGTTGTATTTTCCTCCCTTATTAGAACCGTTATCATAACATCGACTACGTTAATTTTGCATATTGAGATTTAATTGTGAAAATAAATTCAAAACAAAATTAAACAAACCTTTACTAGCGGTGCTGGTAATTGTACAGAAACCGACAATATTTTCACATATCTCAACATTATTGGTTTCATTATTTAAAACAACATACATAGGCACTTGACTCCAATCGTAATTTGCCCCGTGTGCCTTACATGAGTGTGCAATCTAGTATAATGTAGAAATATTTAGATTCCCTCACTCTGTCCAGAATATTATTTTTTACAGCCGTGCCAAGTTAATCATTTTATTCTTTTGATCTCCTAAATACGATACAACACTGTTTGAATCGGATTTCGATTATTGAATTCTATACATTTTTTTTAAGTTGGGAACATCATCGAATGACTGCTCCCGCCTGGGTGAGGCGGGAGGGAGTGTCAGACTTTTACTGACTAAAAACCACCCCGTTCCTTCTCCTGCACTTCGACCCGGAGCCCCGCAACCCGTTAGGTTCTCCGCGACTAAATTCTATACCTAGGTATGCTCCTTCCCGCTATATAACTATATATAACTGTATCGAAGAATCCTATCATGTCGATAGCTTTATTATGTCATATATTTTGATGACCCTCAAAGAGCCAGACACTGATGAGATCACACTGCTAAAGTTTAAATATCTTAATTGTTTCAATCTGCCATGTCTTGTAATAACTCAGAAGTTCAAAAAGGGATACGCTTTGACAGAAATGACAGATCGAATAAGGAGCCCTACTATGCTGGCTCGGGGACGGTTGCACGAACTTAAGGACATGCTAGATAACATTTGTTAGATGGTGATATCGTTAAGATTGCGCGACGTGTCCTTCGACATTTCTTCATGTCTGATTATTCTGGCTGTATCTATTTTTTATTCTGAGGTGGTCGATTCACCGGGCCCCCTACGTGCGCCCGCGTACTATGCACGCCTTGCACGCTCGCTTACGGCGGACCTGAAGTCTAGTAACTAACAACTAAGTTCATACTCAATTAACAAAAACGATTCAATTCTACAACGAAAATAATAGTTCGTAAAAATATGGCAACTAATTTTTTATTTTGGCAAGTTTTGTCTACCTTAAGTAGGTAGGTACAACTTGGCACTTGGCAGAAACTCGAAAGGACGCGTTGATTGGTCGCATTTTATGATATTGGAACGTGATTGGCTAAGCAGACATTGAGCGACCAATGATTTCTTGTCGAGATGCGTGACATTTCATAGAGACAGATCATAGATTCGCGATTAAATATAAGAACCTACTTATAAAAAATACAATTAATTTGACTAGTGAGCAATTTATAATATTATACTTAAGTCTACGGTGGGCAAGTTGGGCTTCCACAGTCCACTCAGTCACATGGCGAAAGACATCGCGACGTTGTTTCACCCAGGTGAGGTGGAGAGGCCCATTCGTGTCCAATTGGGTAGTTGCCAGAGTATGAACATTAAAAATCGAATAAGTCCGTCAGTTAGATAATGAAAAAATATTGTTTAAAATAAAATTTAGAAAAACTACCCTATCATCTATTTCATATTATTTGGAATGTTTAGGATAGACATTGACTTGCTTAAAACTATTAACACATCAAGGAGATATTTAGGTTTCATCTCCTTAAAACTGGAAGTACCTATCTATAAATAATTAAATATAATGCGTATTTTGCGAAAACGTAACATTGAATTCTCTTCTTAAGAAACGTAAATTAATACAGGCGATGCAAATTACAATTTAACATATAAACCGATTCCATTCGTTCGACAGAGTTCGCTAGTGAGAACTTCTATTCCTAAAGTTCTATTGCCCAAATGGACAATAGAACTATACTATACTAAATAAGATTGGTGAATAAAATAGTGGTCAAACGTCGACCTATCAAGAAAAATAGATTAACATTATACATTGTATATTATTTTTTACAGCTTGAATTGATTGGACAACAATGTAATCGACTAGTTTCAAGCTACGCTAGGGGCTCTTATTCATGAGTAGCATTGCGCGACACACGCACGACAGCTTTATAGACATGTGTTTTTTAATTTATCTCATCACAATGTAGCTACTTACATACTTTTTATACTACCATTAACTAATATTTCAGGCCACCTGATCGTAAGTCTACACCACCAGATGCCTAATGCATTGCAAACCATTACTGTCATCATTTTCTCTCTCATTTGCCAGACGAGACGTAGTAACATTACGTCATCATCACTTCACGCTGGCATTTTATGAGACGATGATACTTCCAAGGAAGCCGATGCACTCAAGTTGTGTATAAACTCTAGTCCAGCTAGACTAGCTTTTTCTTTGATTTCATTAAGTACCTGTGTATTTTCATCACAGTTTGTATTTACACCGTTGTTTGTGCCGTACTAAGTCTGTGTGACTAGCAAAACATTCCCCACATCCACGGCACTGTATATTTGAATGCGTGCTTAAGTAATGTCTCAGAAGAGCTTTCTTCAATAAAAACTTTTTAGAACAATCATTGCACTCGAATTTTTTACCAATATTAGACTTGTTGTGAACATTCAAAATGTGTTCTCTCACATACGTTTTACTGGCAAACTTCATATGACAATAGTCACAAGCGAAATGCTTTTTGTCGCAATCTCCTCTTACAATGTGTGTTACTAAATTGCGCTTAAATTTGAAACCACGTTTACAATAATCACAGACGTAGGCTTGTTTTGTTAGGTTGTTCCCATGTCGCGTTATATGGGCTCTGAGGGTAGTTGCATCGGAGAATGCCTTCATGCAGTAAGAGCATTTGTACCAGTAATATCTAGACAGAGACTTGTCTCTTAGATGCACCTGTTCGTGGCGCGTCCTGTGTGCGTAAGCGCCGTAAGTTTTAGGACAGTACTTACATACACAGATCTTATTTGTGTTGTGGTGTTCCTTCATGTGAAGTCTCAGGGAGTCAGTGGTGGTCATTACTTCCGCGCACAAATAGCAAGCGTGTACGCGGTCATTGGAATGTATGCGGTAATGTATACATACGCTTAATCTGGTCTTGAACAACCCTTTGCATAGAGGGCACTTATATTTATTATCGTCTGTCTTCATGAATTCTATTTCTTTTGTTATACCGTCATTTTTGTTAGACTTTAATTTAACATTGTTTTTGAAGCACTTTTTCTTTTCCAATAAAACTGAATTTAATGTTCGTTCCTTTATCATTTGAGTTTCTGTTATGGTTTGTGTCTTCATTGGTATGGAATTATTCGAAGATTTTATTTCCTCAATTGCTTTATCGTTACTATGGACTAGTTTTATATGAGCTTTTAAATCTTTTTGTTTGTAGTAACCGACGCCGCAATAGCATATATGGGGGTATGGCATATGAACAATGGAATGTAGATCAAGGGTGCTTTGAGCAGCAAATTTAATATCGCAGTCTGGACACTTATAGGACTTCAAGATATGTCCATTTGTAAGTTTTCTTTCCATAGCACTTTTTTTTCTCCTGAAAAATTACAATAAAATTCCATGAGTTAATTCAAATTTAATGTAAGCTGTGGACCTAAGAAAATGTAAGTGTGTGTGCTTTATTGTCCAGTTACCACAAGTTGGAATATCTGAGTATAGAATCCAAAGGAAGCAGACTACCAGATGGTAAGCAATCGGGCGCCACCCATGGATATTCGTGACTCTAGATGAGTTACAATTAGTGCTTTGCCAGCCTTTACCACATTGGGACTTGACTAGACTAACTTACGCAAATGTAGGATGGAGTAGCATTGGCTTGTAACCTCACACACGAAGAAACACAATGCAAGCGTTGTTTCACGCCGGTTTCCTGTGAGGTAATGGTATCACTCTGGTCAAGCTAGCCCATTCGTACCGAAGCATGGGTCTTTTGGGTTTTAAATATTATTATTTAGCTTATACACCTGCACATGCTTATGTGAGTAACTAATTAATTTATTACTAAGTTATTTACAAAGAGGACTGCCTCGTTGGCCGAGTGGTCGCAAGTGCGACTGCCGGGCAAGAGGTCTCGGGTTCGATTCCCGGGTCGGGCACAGTATCTATGACTGGGTTTTTAAAAAGTTCTCAGTACTAGCACGGAGTCAGGAATTGTGCCCGGTATATGGCAATAGGCTCACCCCCTATTACATGGGACTCATAACATAAATAGTGAAAAGTGGGTGTTACATTGTACCTACAGTGGTATAATGTGCACTTCGTCCTACCCCTTCGGGGATAAAAGGCGTGATGTTATGTTATGTTATGATGATGATTTACAAAGATCCTTACACATGTGCTTCTACATGTTCGAATTTGTGACGCAAATATTCTGTGTTTGTCTCAAAATTTTGATCGCAGCTGTTACATTTATGTACTGGCATCCTCTCCACAGATACGTAAGCACTAGCGACCTGAAATAATTATATAGCCTCTGATTAAACTGTCAAACACCGGTGACCGCAACCTATTGTTCTATAATTGTGTCTTTAATGACGGTACTCGACGAGTTAAAAGTATATTAAGTGGAAACAAGAAATTTATCAGTGAAGTGAATAAGTTGCTAATAAGCAGACATGTTCTATTGTGGGCTGCCGGGTGTGGTGATTCCGTAAAGGCAACCGGGGTCACGGTCACAGGCAGTGACAGACCAAAATCTTGTATGATAAATAAAGACACTCTTCAGCTTTATACAGGATAAAGCTGAAGAGTTTCTTCGTTTGATTACATCTTCACGATCATGATCACACTACTCTTAGGATATACTGGTTCAATTTCAAAAACTCTTTTTGAGCCGGATAGTCCGTTTATTGAGAAAGATATAAAACATTATAATTTAAACATTAAAACATAATAAGTCATAAAACATTACGCTATGTCAATAGGCACTGAGCAGAGCGAGTAAAACCGCGCGTATGGCTAGTTTACATATAAGCAGGACAATTATGTACAAAGAGTCATAGAATAAAATAGAACCTCAGAACAAACTAAAACTGAATTTAACATTTTAAAATAATATAACTTTGAAGAAAAAGAAAACTTAAAAGAAGGAAGACATACTCTTCTTTGGTTCCACTTTCATTGTCAGTAACTTAGGATAAACTCGGAATATGTAAAATAACTTACATGTTCATAAAACCGTTTATCATAATGACAGGAGTGTTCCTCAAGATCACTAGGGGTTCTGAATACTTTTTTGCACTTGTCACATATGTGAACAGCAAGCTTTTGTAGCTTTATCACTGGTTTCAGTTTCTGAAGTAAATAAAAAACATTAGAACAGGTTTCATTGCACAGTACAGTATTAAGATTCCAGGGTTTGGCAGTGGTCCATCTGCAGTGGGACCCAAGTTAGCCCAGAGACAAGCTCTAAGCAAGCTCTTATTAATTAATCATAATAAAATTAACAAAACCGAAAAGGTGATACTAGTAATATCATAAATATGCAGCAATTATGACTTAACACTCACCAATTTCATATTTGCTGATAACTAGAACTTTAGTCTTAATAATCTTGAATAGTTTAAATTGATTATAATATTACACAGCCCCTGACTGAATAAAACCAAATCATCTTGAAGTCAACCAAACCTGACAATACTATATTATGTTTATCTGTATTATACTATTATCCATAATTTGATTACATTCGAAAAGATAATATGTGGGTATATGTGATGTACTCATAAATTGAAGCAAATATATCTTTGTTAAAATATCAATTTTTTATCCTCCTGTTTGAAGTGAAAAATTCAAAAAATCGAAGTCAAACCAAAACAATACAATACACAACTGACATTGCGACACTGATAAAAACTGACAACGAAACGAAATGTAATTCTTGTCTTCTTGTCGAATCAAATAAAAGTTAGTCAGTTTACACAGAATCGAATGTATTAATGCTTAAAAATAATACTTTTCTTTTAGAATTATTAAGAATAGTAATAGAAAAGCGAAAGTTTGCTATAAGTATATATCAAGCTGTTTTAGAATTGAAATCCCCTTTATCTATTTTGATGTCTGAGTTTGACATGAAAACTAAACGTGTGAGTTAATAATGTCAAATTGGATATGAAAATCAGCTGTTTTGAGTGATTCTGTTTGCAAGTCAGCTTTGTTTACCAGGGCTTAGCATAAAGGTAAATAACTCAATTAAGTAAACAATATGAATTTTATTAGATTCTTCAGTAGATAAGGTTATGAACCAATTTATATATTCATCAGCTATAGTGAAAAAAAGTATATATGTATAAAATATTATAAATAGATATCTTTAAACCTTTGTTCAGTTTTAGATAAACACTGAACAAAAGTGAAAATTGTCTTGTATTACTAAACTCGTTTGTGATAACAAGGCAATTATTTATAATTATATTATGTCTTAAAAATTACTAATTTTTATAAATTTTATTGTACTTGAATTTTATTGACTTTCAGTTCTAACAAATAGGTTATTATCTACTAAAAACCGCGGTTTACACACGTAAACATACAACACGTTTCGAACCACAGAGGGGTTATTATCATTTTAATGCCTCTTATAATCTCATTCACAAAGAGTTTCATTAAACCACTAATTGGTCTAAATTGAGTTATTCACACATAAATGAACTCACGCCGCGTCTTGTCCTATGGGATAATATATGTTGGATGCAGAAACTTAAGACCTTAATGTGTGTGCTCCTTTAACTTCCATCACATTCATCAAGAACATCAAATCTTACTATAAATAATAGAGTTCTTTAATTATTACAAAAAGTCGTCTTGAGCGAGGGCTCATTAGGTGGGATCGAACTATACTGACATTACTGAAATTTCACATCATATTTTAGTAGATAAAAAAAAATGTGGTTACACCATGGAATAATGCATTGGTAAAATTTCCGCAAATATTATTTTGTCTGGAGCTTCATAGATACAAATATTCCGATAAAGAATGGTCTACACCAGACCTTACCTTCATAGTCTATAACAATTTCCACCACAATAAAAAAAAACAGCATATATATATTACAATGTTTGCCACAAAAAAAATTCCCAATAAAAATTAATTTGATTGTTATCGTTGCAAAATAATATGGTTAACCACTAGATAATTAATTTATCAATATTTTGGTTCATGTAACATATAAATTCTTACTGAAAGGTACAAGCACTCATCAAATTATACTACCCAACTAACTTTCAACTTTAGTTTTGAAATAATAGAGTAGAAAAACTTGTTGATTCAGGGTAGCTTGTTGCGCTGGTGTCTGTACTATAAATAAAATTGGGTCACAATTATTTATTCTGTATTGTGCCAGTGTGCATTGCTAATACTCTGTGTTTGTACATTACATACTGTCTTATCTTTAAGATAAGTTTGTCTGCGATAATATTACTTCTTGATTTTTTTTTACTTTATTCTGTGTTTTGAGTATGTTAATTTTAATATTTGTTAGTGCATTCAGTATTATCATGATCTCTTTAAACCTTTACCTCTTCATCAACTTTATTATTTTTAAAAATACATTTTTTATTTAATAAAGGACAGAAAGACTTGATTACATTCTGCCAATTTCTGGGCATATATTATAGTATGCGGTTCATCATCATCAACAGCCTATAAATTCCCACTGCTGAGTAAAGCCTCCTCTCACACGGAGAAGGTTTGAGCATTAATCACCACGCCTGCTCAATGCGGGTTGGCGGCTACAAACTTAAAATTAGAAATTATAAGTCCAGGTTTCCTCACGATGTTTTCCTTCACCATTTGCCAGTGTTGTCTAGATAATCTTAGATATAGGGTTATACTTGATATTTATAAAATAGGGTTTCTAATATTAGGTATTATAATTGAACAATATATTTATATTACTGTTGTATCTATTCTTCTTGTTTTAATTTTTTATTGTTGTCATAAACTATTTTTCGTTCTTTCTTTCTTCTTCATTCATATATATTCAACTAGCGACCCGCCCCGGCTTCGCACGGGTGCAATATGCTTATATTTTATACATATAAAACTTCCTTAAGAATCACTCTATTTATTGCAAAAAACCGCATCAAAATCCATTGCGTAGTTTCAAAAATCTAAGCATACATAGGGACAGACAGTCTGCGGATAGTGACTTTGTTTTATACTATGTAGTGAGGATGAACAAACTTTGTAGTACAAACTTACGGTATATTGTGACTTACATATATACCTACATTAATACATGATCCACAATTATTATGCACATGTAAATAAATATTTAATGTTACTTGCAGATAAGGAGACCAACTTCATTGTGCCTTCAGTACTGCTATGTTGAAGATGTCTTCGCAGGTAAGTTTCAATTTAATAAATTCAAATTCAAATTCTTTATTGCGTTCCACAATGTTTTACTTAGGTGGTAACATAGAATAATACAGTTCATTGTGGACCCTGTCGGGCACAGCAAGGAAATATATAATTTTAATACAAAAAAAAACTACAAACTAGCATTACAGAGTCACAATACATTACATAAACAATATTAGAGCATTTTGATATAATTTATACGAACAAAAAACAAAAGACCAATTATTATTATTAATTAAACTGTCAAACACCAAGCGGTCACCGGTGACCGCAACCTATTGTTCTATAATTGTGTCTACAAAACCGGTACTCGACGAGTTAACAAATTACACATAATATTAAAATTACAGTACAGTTAACAAAATTTGTATTAACATTAAGAATTATTTAGAAATTATACTGTCATATAAAGATCAAAAAAGTCTTTAAGAGTGTAATAGCATTTATCTATTTACAATACACTTAAAGTTTTTTTTTATTAAAGAGAGGGACAGAAGTAATTCTGATTAGATTTAAATGACAATATTATGTAATAGCCCCTTTGTTAACTTGAATTCAAATCAGCCATCACCATCTATCAAGCTGTGCGACAACTCACAGTAAATTAATTTTAATAGGTAACAGTATGGCATTGGCTGAATCCATCTTTTAGATTATTTCTACATTGAACACTGAAATTGAAACTAGTACCATCTCTATATTTCGTTTTTTTTTTTACCTTTGCCCCACACTAGGATTTTTTCATGTGTTGTATAAGTGTGTATGTTATCCATTAATAATTATAATAGTTTTATAGATAACTTACAAAGTATTATGGTCTATTGCGTTTATAGCTTATAAGATTAAAAAAATTGCATGCCATATGGTAGAATGTACCAGGAACGAAATTTTAGGTACACATAACACCCAGAGCCGCAACAACAATTTGTAGACCAGTCAAAGAGTTGTTCTATATAGTCGAACTCGCGGCACGTTGTCATAATATCATCATCATATCAGCTGTAAATGCCTTGTATTGTTATACTAAAGTGAAAATATCAACTCAACTAACAGCTGGACAGCATCATTAGCGCTTACAAGACTCTGACGAAGATACCGTCAGTGGCTGGTGGTAAGCTGAACAATGCAGCCAACAGAGTCACCGCCAAGTGGTCAGTGCGCAACCTGGACAAGGGCATGAATACTGCATACACTACTTCATACTCCTTGGATGGCAACCTGAATGTCATCGCTCAAAGTGACTTTGGAATGGATGTTAGCAATGAGTGAGTGTTACTGTCCTATTATTTTTTATACACTAGAATACGTAGAATAATGACTTCTGACAGAATTCATCAGAATCGATTCAGTGCCTTAGTAAGAATTATTGTAAAATGAATTTATCATGGTTTCAAAATATAAATAATCCCGCAGGGATTTTATCAGGACAGTGCCCGTTCCCATAACGTTTGAGTGATAAAAACTATTCTATCGACTATATTGTTGTACCAAATCTCTCTATAATAAGTTCAGTGGTTAAGATATAGAGAATCCCGGGGCAATAACGCAAAATTCCCGCTCCCGTGGGACTTCTCTGATAAAAATGAAAACCATTACATATCGTTACCCAGGTCTCAAATGTAAATACTATATACAATTATTATATACTTATAATATACTTATAATAATTGGGGATTGGTCTCAATGATTACATATCACTAGACACATCAACCACCTGCAATGGACCTTTGCCATGATGTCCACACTTGCCACGCGGATTAGTGTAGATTACACGATGTACAGTCAACGGTCAAAAGTCCACCGTGAGTGATGTTTACACGGCAATGCGTAAGTAATTTCGTATTAATGTGCATAAAAACGCGTGCGTACGCATAAACACACGCACGCGTACTCACACTGATAAAAATATGCATGTGCATGTGTGTATAAGCGCTGCAGCGCAACCGATAGTAGTCTTGCGGTGGCAGTGGACTTTTGACCTTTGACCGTACATAATTGTTATCCTCCAGTTAAGCGGAGTGACCACAGACTATAGAAAGAAGGTGACGATGTCCGCAATATGGCTGGGAGTGGTTGACTGCGTGGCGTATTACTTGCAGTGGACTAACATGGGCTGTTGATGATGATGATGATGACGATGATTAATGTTCTTCAGGAAACTGTCAGCAGTGTCTCCGCGGGAGACGTTCAAGGCGTTGATCCGTGAGGAGAAAAATGGCAAGGACTCGAAGAAACAGTACCTTGAGCTGTGGAGTAAGAACACCCTGGCCCACAGCGTGGATCTCACTAGTCTGGACATACATGGAGATGTGTATGCTGACTGTAAGTTTTAGCATTTTTTATACTGTTGTAGGTATACATGGTCGTGGTGGCCTGGAGGTTTAAAACTCCTGCTTCTCATGCATGAGGGCACGGGTTCGGAATCTACCAACGGCAAGTAACAATGTGACTTTTTCCGAGTTATATGTACTTTCTAACATTATTTAGATACCACTGACAAACGGTGAAGGAAAACATCGTGAGGAAACCTGGACTTATAATTTTTTATTATAAGTCTGTAATCGCCAACCCGCATTGAGCAAGCGTGGTGATTAATGCTCAAACCTTCTCCGTGTGAGAAGAGGCCTTTGGTCAGTAGTAGTCACTTTTAGGCTGTTAATGTTGATGATGTTATACTGTTCTTGGTAGCAACAAAATTTGCAGCATTTAAGTACACGTATAACACTAAAGGGATCATTATTTTCGGCGAACCCTCCTCCCCGAAAGCGATGGCTGGTTAGGTATTCGGAACTTACATGTACTATACTTATAGCTGTATTATTACGTCACAACTTCACGCTAGTATTCTATGAGAGCGTAGTATTACGCCAAACTATCCGGCGCACATAAGCCAAGTTGCATAAAACAGGTACCACATTTACACTGATTTTATAAAACTAAGCCTTTGGTTCGTTCATCAATGATGTAAAAATGGATATAGGTATAAGAAGCCTGACTTTTGCTCAGACGTCTATAGTCTACATCAGAAATGATGGTATGGTATTATGGTTTTATAATTACAGCGGAATTCGGCAGTTTGGACTGGTCTCCTGATGAGACGTCCCTAGTGTATGTCGCGGAGAAGAAGCTGCCAAAATTTGAGCCTTACATCAAGAGGAAGGCTGAAGACAAACCGAAGCTGGATGGCAGTGGAGAGACTGCTCCTAAGAAGGTAAAAAAGTGACCAATGTTAAAAAAAATAAGATAAACTGTTAGTGAGTGGAATTCCTTGGAAGTGTGTATTACATAATTATAATAGCCCTTCTTTTTTCGATATAGTCGGGTAAAGACAAAACTAAGACTTGGTGTTTAAATCCCCTATTAATGGTGAGGCCCATAATTGCTTACCATCAGACGAGGTACTGGTTAAACGCCTATTACAGATATTAACGAGAAAACATTTACTTATTTGAAACTACTGGGTTAAAACATCGGAATTTTTTTTATGGAATGTGGCTGCGCTTGTGGACCCTCGCAACACCGGAGGACGTACAAGTCCGTTGCTGGCTTCTTTGGGTCTTGAGAATTGGGGAAAAGATAGGATCATCGTTATATAACGAAATTTTCTTAAGTGAAGTGTGAAAATCTAGTTAAAATAAATAAATATGAATGTTTCAGGGTGAAGAGTATATCTACAGACAGGATTGGGGCGAGCAGTTGGTGGGCAAGCATCTGTCCGTGGTGGTGGTATTCCAGTTGGCCACAGAGACCTTTACCGTCCTCGGCGGCATACCTGAAGGAATGTGCCCTGGTCAGGTACTGTACCTACGATATTTTATTCGTATTAATACCTTAAGATGTATGGGAAGATTTAAATTGACATGTTAAAAAAGGAAAATATGAATGAATACATCAATTACCTACATTTTTTTACTAACTTGTGTTGAATATATACAAACTCTTCATCATTTCTCTTCGTAGTTATTATTCGTAGTTGTTATATGTGTGTGTGTGTGTGGCAGGTCCGTTTCTCCCCGGACGGGGGCAGCGTGGTGGGCGTGGTGTGGGAGTCGGAGCCGCGCAGACTGGGACTCATCTTCTGCACCAACCGGCCCAGCTACATCTTCGAGTGCACTCTCGATGGCTCCTTCAGTAAGTAAAGCAACTTCTATTTTATGGTATAGGCCAGTAAACGAGCTGACGGATCACCTGATCACCTGATGGTAAGCAACCGTATTTTTTTAAAGGTTCCACACACTAACACAAAAGTAATTATTCAAATCAGACTTGTAGTTACGGAGATTAGCGCGATCAAACAAACAAACAAAAAAACAAACTCTTCCGCTTTATATAATAGTATAAGATAAGACGTATAGTTACAGAACTATACTTAAGCGCGAGTTATAATCGATTGGCGTTGCGTATTTCAGTGTCAGTTTTGTTATTCTGGACTTATTAGTGCATACACCTACTCAACAAGAGTAACCAGTATAAACTGACCTCTGTACATTACAGCAAGGTCATATAAAGCGAGACCGTGATAAACTGGTTATTATCGGTTAAACTGGTAAACAAACAAAAAATATGTTTTTATAATAACTATCGTGAGACATACTAAATAAAGTAAAATCGCGGGTTACTCACGTGAAGCTGCGCGACGTCGCCGTGACCGCGCACGCTGCTCATGAACAAGAACCCCTCTGTGGTTCGAAACTAGTAGAGCTTTTCTCAATATATTCACGTGAGTAACCCGCGTTTTTACTTAATTTAAACAAAAAATATATCTTTAAATACCTAGTTGTGACATTGTGTTTGTCTTTGTTATAGGGAAGTTGAGTGGGGAAGGTGTAGCGGTGCGGTCCCCCCGGTGGTCCCCCGGGGGGGAGCTGGTGTGGCTGCAGCGTCGGGCGGACGGGCCGCACCACGCCTGCCACCAGCTCGTACGCAGGAACAAACAAAATGTAAATATTACCTACTATACCTATTTGTTTTGTCAGCGACTTCGCCCGTGTTCTCGAGAAAATAAGTACCCTTCATGTCATGCCTGGGCCTTTAGCCAAACGCCACTTTAGCGCTTGTCTACAGAGAGAGTAGAAATCAAAATGTATGGGGATGACATTGACAAGTGTCAAAATTTACGTCAATTCCATATAATTTGGTTTCGACACTGGCAGTATAGTCGACAACACCGTTTTGGAGACTCGGTTGCCAAAGAAGAAAAAAAAAAAAAAAAAAAAATGCTGTTTGTTACCTACAGAAGGTAATTTTGTATTATATCTATTTCTCAGTATTCTTATTTCCATGAAAAATACGAGTTATATAATTAAAAAAAAAAAAAAAAAAAATAATTTGGTTTTCTATTCTAAATGTAGACAAGTGCTAAATGGCATTTGGCTGCAGGTACAGATTACAATCTATCTCTGTCGGATTTCTGCAAACATATTTCTCATTCGACCGACTTCGGCGGACTCCAATAAACCAACCAATCAGAGCGCCGAACGCGTACTCGTTACGATTATTTTAAACGTAAAAGAAGCCACCCATGCTCGCCGTCCCCAGGCCCGCGTTACCATACTACTGCCCACTGGGCTAACTGTGGGCTAATTTTATACATATTTTCTTCAATTTCAGGGCGCAGTATCACCTATAATAGACATAATAGACACAGAAGTGAAGATTGCAACCGGAGAGAGTTTCCACGGCGTCTACTGCCAGGCGCTGCCGGCCAGGTGCTTCACGTCCGACGGCAGGCTCGTGTTGTCCTCGCCACAGAAAAATGAAGTTCGATCTTATATCGTAGATCTAGGTATGTATACAATAGTTACCGCAGATGTCGTAAATAGACCACTGTGTTCTCTAACACTAATATATTCAAACGCTAGGTATCTACTCATACAAATTCTTCGTAAGATGATGACAGAGACGGTCTCGCTGGCCGAGTGGTCGCAAGTGCGACTGCCGCGTAAGGGATCTTAGGTTCGAGATCTGAGTCGGGAAAAGTAAGACTGGGTTTTAAAAAAAATCTCAGTAGTAGTTTGGAAATGTACCCAGTATATGTCAATAAACTAACCCCTTCTACCTACATGGGACTCATAACATACAGTGAAAAGTGGGTGTTACATTGTACAGTGGCATTAAGTCTTTTTTATGGCATAAGCCGGTAAACCAGCAGACTGATCACCTGATGGTAAGCAATCGGCGTCGCCCATGGACACCTGGAACACCAGAAGCGTTACAAGTGCGTTACCGGCCTTTTGGGGATTAAGAGTTTGAGGATCGTTGGGGATTCCGGGATTGGGGAGATTAGTGAAGGGGAGGGTAATTGCCGGTAACGTCACTAATACGACGTAACATAACGCAAGCGTTGTTTCACGTCGGAATTCTATGAAGCCGTGGTATCACTCCGGTCGAGCCGGCCCATTCGTGCCGAAGCATGGCTCTCCTACACTTAAAGTATCGTTTCGTTACAGTAAGTGCCACAATGTGCACCTCTGCCTACCCCTTCGGGAATAAAAGGCGTGATGTTATGTTTATGTTTGACAGAGATGGAACGATATTTAAGTACAACTTAAAATGTATGCCTTTCAGTATTTAGCGTAAGTAACATACTATACCCTCTAATACAACAGTTGACTATCACGCGCTGTTGTTGATAATGATCTTTATGGTAAATGCAATAAAGTGTATAATCCTGCATCCCACAGGGTCTGGCAAGATATCAGATATCTCCAACAAGAGCTGTCCGTGTTCCACGAGCGTGCTGGACGTGCGCGGTGACGTCATACTGGCCGCATGCTCCAGTCTCACTACTCCGGGACAGGTGCATGAAATTTAATTATATTTATAAGACTAAATATTATGATTTAGAATTAATTAACCCTTTGAGTACCGTCATTATGGACACAATTAAAGAACAATAGGTTTTTTTTAAGGGGGGGAAATTATCGAATGACAAACACGATGCTTTTACAAAAAAAAAGTATAATTTAAAATCGGTTCATAAACGACGAATAAATACAAAACAACATAAATATAAATACGCAACATAATCTACATCTATACATAGGTATAATTTTTTTTTAATGGGGGAAAATCATGGAATGACTGCTCCCGCCTGGGTAAGGCGGGAGGGAGTGTCAGACTCTTACTGACTAAAAACCACCCCGTTCCTTTTCCTGCACGTCAAACCGGAGTCCCGGTTACCCGTTAGGTTCTTTGCGACCGAAAAGAACAATAGGTCACCGGTGTCCTCGCGGTGTTTGACAGTTTAAATAAGACCAACGTGTTGCTTCTTAAAATGAATAAATGACATTGTAATGTTTATTCTTCTACATATTATATAACACAAATTTCTTATAATATTGACGTCTAAACAAACCACAGACTATTTGACAATTTATAGTAATCAATTCAAAATTGAAGAAAACCTATTTTCTTTTCATATTTATTCTTTAAATAGGCTTCAAAATAGCAATTTTACACGCTGCAATTGGGTAGTTTCCAGGGTACCAACATTAAAAATCTAATTAGTCTGTCAGTTAGATAATGAAAAAATATTAGACACGTATTTCTTTATTTTTTCGTATTAAGTTGCAACACTTAGATAAAATGGCGCTAAGTTTAGGAGTGGGAGGTAGTTACGTCATAACGTGCTACAAAATGTGGCACGCTGTGACGTCACACGGTATTTCAAATTATTATATTATCGAAAGTATTTAATTTTGTTTTGTTGTTGTCTAAAGTTTTAAATTAATGTACCAGACGGACATTAAAATAAAATTTAGGAAACTACCCTATTAGACTAAGCTGATGTCCTATCCGACTACTATGAGAAAAAACACTGAAACATATTCAGTCTCTTTTAAGTACGGTAGCTATGTACTTAATAATCTAGTAGGTACTATTTTCTTTCGTATAATTGAACTTTGGTTAACTACAAGCAAAGGTCATCAACACCAAGGTGAAATATTAATACTATCAATTTTACTTTATTTGGATAAACGCCATTGTTTTGGTGTATTTTCGTTAAGAGACAACTTAATGTAATTTACCCATATTAGCGAACATATGATTTGATTTGAGATTTTGCTAAGTAAGACTATAAGATTTTTTTTTATTTTTATTTTTAGGAAGTTTTGTAATTTGTATAATGCGTCAAACGTGTCTTTGCATTATTCTCACATATACGTACAGTATTGGAATATGTATCAGACACATTGTAGAACATACTTTTTTTTAAAAGAGTAACGAATGGGATTTCTTGCTCGTTCTTCTCCATTCGAATCTACATTTTGGAATGAGCACCTAGCTTCACCTAGCTTCACTGACGGACTGACTGACAGACTATTATTTTTTTTTGTATTTATTGATGTTTCAAAATTACCAAATTATGGTTTAATTGAAATAAATTCTTTGACTTTTAAATTCGTGTGACACCTTCTTTATTTGTTATTACGTAATTGATTCGTGTGAATTAAATGTGAATAGTGAATTTCTGAGATTAGTTTATTCGAGATTTTTTAACTACAATACGGCCGTTGCGTTATTCTTTGCATCAGTTGCAGATTGTTTCGTTATAGTAAAACTGTGGTGCCACGTTATACGAGATTACCATGTATCCCACCCCGATAGTACGTAAAATGATGCTGATGTTGTATGTGTAGGTGTATATAGCTCGCTTACCATCGCCGGGCAGCGAGGCAGACATCAAGTGGTCGCGCATCACCTGCAACAGCGAGGCCCCGCCCGCAGTGTCGTCCGCCACGCTGCAGTACCTACACCTGCAGCACCAGGACTCACAGGATACCGTCAGTAAGTACCTACCTATGTCTAAACAACCGCCTTGCGTGTGCGTCTCAAATATTGGAAGGAGTCACTGTAGCCCGTAAACCATCAACAGATTTTCACGACCAATTTCCTCACAGTCGATAATTGGTAAAGTACTTCAGGGAGTTGTATTATGAAGTATTATGAACGTCAATTGCGGCGTATACGGTGAGTTGCGCAGTGGCAGCCGCCCAAATGTGTAAGAAAATAAAATTAAAATTTTTAAAGAATAAAACCTCATCCAATATATCGTTAACATAATATTTTGAAGAAAAAAAGAGGTCAGATTGTTATACAGTGCAGGATTATTGCATACGTAAGCTGATAACAAAATTCTAGTTAGTAGTAATGAATACATGAATACATTACGGGGCACGGGCATCAATTAGACCATATTTATTCCTGAAAAAAAAAGAAGTGACATGAGCGAATGTAATTATCATGTATTATACGATGACCCAAAATAATAATTTGCGCGACGATCACACATCATCACATTGGTACTTGCTGTTGGTAGGTTTCGAACCCGCACACTCATGCATGAGAAGCGGGCGTCTTAAACCTCCATGCCATCACGACTTGTTTTGTACTAATTTGAAATTAAATTAATAATTTTCTAAATAATTATTTTCATATTACTCTGTTTTAGGTTAATTTATATTTAGATATATACCTCTACAAAAATGTATGTGTTTATAAATTTCAATCTGCTCAGAAAAAGTAACTGTTGTGATGTTATACCTTAGTTAAACACTTTTTTTTTAGTTTAATGTTTCACAGTGTAGGAATTTTTTTGGGCGACTTTTTCTATATATTTTAAAAGAGGTTGACAGGTAGAAATGTACTCATTTATCACTTCAGATCAATAAAAGTGAACCATAACAAAAATAACTTACAGTTCGATTTCGCTTACAGAATCTTTCACGGCGTTGTACTTAGCTCCTAAGATAGAGAATAAGCAACTGCCTTTGATCGTGTGGCCTCATGGAGGACCTCATTCCAATTTTGTCAACGCATTCTCCATTGAGGCTGCTCTCTTCAGCATGCTGGGTAAGATCCTTTTACAAAATACATACCTACTTTAAATGCCATAAGGTATTATGTATTATTAATTTTCAAATTGTATACTGTAGCAGTTACTCCAAATCAAATACAGCTAAGTCCAATAGTGAGGATCAAATACAGCTAAGTGCAATTTAATTTTCACTCTAGACCCAAAAATGGAAGGAGTTTTATAATTTTTAATTCAGATTATGAATAATGTTCTCTTTCTTTAAAAATCTGATTTTTAAAGATTTTAAAATATCGTTATGATAATATTATCGGTATTATTTAGTTCCTGAGAATTTGACCGACTTGGAGTTAGCTGCCTTTGATTTTATAAGCCACTGATTTTATACTTTGATTACTTCCTAATCTTTAATGATGCTAAAACGTCATTTCTAAAATGTACATAGAAGTGACGTTACGCGACATTTCAAACCAATATATCGTCAAAAGGAGATATTCGTTTCTGTAAGAAAATAAAAAAATACGTACCTAATGATTTAAAATTACATACCAGACGGACATTAAAATTGAAATTAGGCATCTACCCTATTATATAACTAAAAGTCATTATAAAAACACACCCAATTAAAGTTACTCCTAAGAACAACATGTTTCCCTCATTGCTCCACATTGCAATATACATATATTGAATTGTACTTGAAAATGCAATAAGCTGATAATATGCATTAGCCAGGCAATCTATGTAACCATATTAAGATCGAACTCCAGAAAGACTACTAAGGCAGATTGAACAAAAATATTTCAGGTTTTGCATCCCTACAAGTGAATTACCGGGGCTCAACTGGGGCGGGGCAGGACTCGGTGCACTTCTTACTCAAACGTGTTGGCGACGCAGACGTCAAAGATTGCAAACTTGCCACAGACTATGCCCTAAAGACATTCCCCATAGACCCCAAAAAGGTCTGCTTAACAGGGGGTTCTCATGGGGGGTTCTTGGTCACCCATCTAAGTGGGCAATATCCAGATGTATATGCAGCCGTAGTCAGTAGGAATCCTGTAACTGACGTTGCCAGTATGTTCAATTCTACGGACATAGCTGATTGGTGAGTTGGCTTGATATTTTTTCCATTTTATAGATGTATGGGGATTTATGAAGCGACTTTCAACTTTATTTGTTTGGATTAAAGTTGAAAATCTAAAAGACAGTTGGTTTTGATTTGCTGTTTGCAATGATAGTTCCACTCTTAGAGAAATTGAATAAAATATTCTCATTAATCCCCATATAATTAGATAGTTATGGAAAAATACGATGCGAAAGTTTATTCTTGTGCATGTCATTTTATTTCTAAATTAATTTGCAAACGGTAACTGAATGGTCAAGAAGTATTTATTTTAACAACTATAGCGTGAATCTATCTAACTACAGGTTTTTCATAAGGTCTATCCCAAATTTTTATTACCGAGTTCATAAGAGCTATCCCAGTCCTGCCCTGAAAAGAGGATTTCCTAAAATCCCGAATTAACTACTATATTTCAATACTAGATCTGCCTTTTTAGTCAGGAGCCCGATCGTAAATAAAGTATCATTTACGATTCGACATTAAAAATCTCCCTTCACTAGGTTTTGCATCAGCCCGAATAAACTACCGAGGTTCAACTGGTCAGGGAGACAAACACGTCCGTTCTCTTCTAACTCACGTAGGCGACTACGACGTACAAGATTGCTGTCTCACTCTGAACACATTGTTAGAAAGAGATGGGAGACTGTGTGCGAAGAATGTGTTTTTATATGGAGGTAGCTATGGTGGGCTGGTTGTGGCTCACTTAGCCGGCCAGTATCCTGATAGGTTCAGAGCTATGGTGATGAGGAACCCCCTGATAGACTTGGCCAGTAAAGGCCATTATGCTGACAATTCAGATGGGTAAGCCCTAATTTTGTTTCATGTAGAAATTTCAGTTACATGTCACATTCAGTTACCATTTGTAATTTAGTTTATTTAATATTTCTTAGGGAATGAGGTTTACATGAGTGTAGTCCGTAATTTTGTAGTTTCTTCCGCGTTATCGGGATGTAATATAGCCGGATCTTTATACCAAACTAGCTACTTCCGCGCGGTTTCACACGCTCTGCTCAGCTCGTATTGGTCGTAGCGTGACGTTTAATAGCCTATAGCCATCCTCGATAAATGCACTATCCAACACAAAAAGAATTATTCAAATCAGACTTGTAGTTACGGAGATTAGCACGTTCAAACAAACAAACAAAAAAACAAACTCTTCCGCTTTATACTATGTATTAGATTTTATTTAGATTTGTCCAGTAGTTTTTGCGGAAAAGAGTAACACGTAGACATTCATCCACAAACATTTTCTCAAAGGTTTCCTTCCGGATATTTTAAATTAGTATAGTTGTAAGCAAAAGTTATTCAACATATTCATTGATATCTAGCTTCTGCCCGCGACTTCGTACGCACAATCCAGTTTTCTCCCATTCCCGTAGGATTTTCAGGACTTTTGCTGTCTTAAGAACCTTCTCCTAATAATAACAAATACAACGAAAAATATTGTGAAATCGGTCCAGCCATTCACGCGTGGTGCCATGACCAAGGGAAAAAGGGATTCATTTTTATATATATACTAGCGGACCCGACAGACGTTGTCCTGCATATAATATAATAATAGGTATAGATAAATAACCTAGATATCGACTGCAGCGCCATCTGCCGGGCTGATTTGTGAATCTAACCATCTAAAGCGCCACCCAAACGCATACAGAAAAATTCATTTAAATTTAGGAGCCGTTTCAATGACATAGACACGTACAGCAGAATTATATATATTACTAGCAGCCCGTCCCGGCTTCGCATGGGGTTGACAAATATTTATTTTTTGAAGTAACTACAATAGTTAGACATATGCTACCGCGGAGTTTTTTGTAGACATTATGATGTTCTTCAATATTGTTGTACATTATTTTGTTCTATCGCTAATAGTTTCGGCAGCGCATTCGACGATAGACATTTTAAGACTCATTTTTCTACACCTTCGGTTACATTGTTCAAATTTTACCACCCTAATTTTTTTCAAAATGAAATGTAGCCTATGTCAAATTGGAAGAATGTAGCATTCTATTGGTGAAAGAATTTTTTAAATCGGCCCAGTACTTTTTGAGGCTATTCATTACAAACATACAAAAATAGGTACAAATCTTTCCTCTTTATAATATTAGTATAGATAAAGATATAGATATATTTTATTATGGGTAATTAGTCTGAAATAAAGACGTGTGATCATTTCATTTATCTATCATGCTACCCAGGTGTGCAGTAGAAGCAGGTTTCGAGTTCACGGAGAAGGGTCCGGTGTCGGAAGACCAGTTGCTGGCCATGCGGCGCTGCTCGCCCATCGCCCACGTGCACAAGGTGAAGGCGCCCACCGCTCTCATGCTGGGCAGCGGGGACAAACGGGTGCCACACTTCCAGGGGCTGGAGTACGCTAGGAGATTGAAAGCTAATGGAGTTACTACCAGGTAAATTGGGTAAAATAAGGATATATCTGGTTTTTATAATAACTATCGTGAGACATACTAAATTAACTAAAAATCGCTGGTTACGTACATCAGTAGGCTGCGCGACATCAACGCGACCGCGCACGCTGCTCATGAGGAAGAATCCCTCTGTGGTTCGAAACTAGTAGAGCTTTTCTCAGTATATTCACGTGAGGAACCCGCGATTTTTAGTTAATATGCCTGGTTAGTGTGAATGATGCTTTTAAAAACAATAAGGGGGTCTAGACTAGAAAAAATAATGCTACAATAACATAAAAGAATTTTTCACGTTGTGACGTCACTGCTTTTTGACGTTCACTACAAATATATTTTTGTTTTGTTAATTGATCAGAGATATAAGATTAGATATGATTTAGGATTGATATGATATTGATAAGTCAACACCACTTTTTCTAAAATATTTAATAAGAAATCTTTCACCTCGCAACTTACTTTTTACTTACCTACCTACACTGTAATTACTTATGACACATAACATAACATAAAATCATGCCTTTTATCCCCGAAGGAGAAGGCAGAGGTCTTGAGTACCTGCGTCAATGTTATCAGAATTTATATTAATATTTAGGTCGCCAATTATGATGACAGTTGGAAAGGATGACAAATTTTGTAGAATATTATCTAATGACTTATTAAATTTATCTAAATTTCTGATGGAAGGAGATCTATAGATTGACACGATTGCTATTTCAGAGCCTATTTTAATAATAATACAATTAAATTCCAGGTTTGTTGGCTCTTCGATCGAAAAATGGAGAGATTGTTTTGTATATATTACGATTCCATCATTCTGGTTAAAATTTAGTGTAGAGCTAATGTAATTGTAACCTGGTAATATAGGCATAATCCCATTTTTATTTGAAAGCCAACATTCTGTTAGTACAATGATAGCGCACTGTGACTTTAATCTTTGCAGAAAGATACTTAGACTATCAATGTTTTTATATATGCTGCGAATATTTTGAGTTAGTATTGTTAAAGGACTTTTGAAATCGGCGAGATAATGTCTGCATTTTTCTGTTTCAGAAACTTTTGAGTAATATACTGCATTGTCATCGAGATCATTAATCAATTGATTAGCCATATAAATTACAAAAATATTAATCAATCAATAGAAAATAAAATTAAACTATCTAAATATTACTAGTGCTACTGATAATATAAAAGGTGGCGCTCTTAGGCGCCCTCATTATAGTCAATAGAGTTAATGTACCTCGTTTCTGCTGTCTTCTTTGCCGGGCATTCAAGGTCCCCAGTTTTGTGACTGCTTGGCTTTTTGAACCGGGAGCATGTTGCACATTTTGGCGGCTTGTCCTTCTTAGTGCAGTCTTTAGTCTCATGCCCTTGTTCTCCACAATGTCCGCATGTGCATGTAACTTCGCGACAAGTTTTTGCAGCATGCCCATATTGCTGACATTTAAAGCATCGGGTTACGAGAGTGAAGTCACGTACAGGGCAGGAAGTCCAGTTGATATAGATTCTCTCCTGATTTATGAGAGCTTTCCTTACATTGGCTGGGACTTCTATTATAAAGTTGCATGTGGGCGCGTCTTTTTTCCCTGACTTGTGGCTTAACTTGATGCAAGACAGGAATGATTCTCGCGACATATTAGGCATCTTATCGGCCAGGTTCTGCTCGTAAATTGAATCGAACACCTCTTGGTCTCGAAGAGCTGCGGGCACGCCGACTACTATTATTCGCGGCCTTCTTTTGTGAGGTTCTTCGACTTTCAGGCCTGAACTGGTCAGCTGGCTTGATCGACGGAGTTTTTCAATGTCCTCGTTTGATTCGGTGCTAATTATTACACCTCCGTTCCTTGTTTTTCTCATACCCCTAACGTGCAATTTCATTTGCTCTGGATTAATAATCTTTTGCACGAGCGTTTTGGTTTCGTCACTGGATTTTAGTGCATCGTTCGGATAAATTGCGATTGACTTCAAATTAGAGGGTCGCAGGACACTTGATTTGTTCGTCTTTAATATATCAGCAAAGGACATATTTTGAGCCACAGGTTTACTGCAATTTTCTTGGATTGACTCCTTAATTGACTTTTTAAAGTCGTTCAGGCAAGCAGCAAGGTCCTCCTTTTCTCTTAAGGCTTCCAGAGATGTTTTTATCTGGCAAGCCCTTTGTTTTAAGGTCTGATAGTGGATCGCCATTTGGGAGACTCCATTTCCGACCCTTCGTGCCAGAGTGTTAATATTAAGTTTTTGCTCAGAGTTCAACTTACCCTCTGCAGCAATCTGGCACACATCATTGAGAGCCTTTTCTATTGTCACCATCCAACCCTTAATGTCACTGGTCGAGAGTGCTTCCAAGGTCTCTTCGGCGGCATGTTCTGCGGGTTGCGGAGTGCTGGGAGGGCTGCGACACGTTTTCGAACTCCGATTGAAAGGGCTATTTTCTATGTTAGCCATTGTTTGCGTTTAATTATGTAACATAGTGTATTACAAACTAAACAAAATTTACTAAATGTTGTATAATATAGGTCAATATTTTATTGACTAAATGTTTACATGAATAAAAATAAATATTGCAATTCAGGCACGTCTACTCGCCGTCGTGGTCTCGTAGAGAGACATCGATCATCGATCATATTCATATTATGAGTCCCATGTAATAGGGGGTGAGCCTATTGCCATATACCGGGCACAATTCCAGACTCCGTGCTATTACTGAGAATTTTTAAAAATCCAATAATATTTTGCCCGACCTGGGAATCGAACCAGAGACCCCTTGCCCGGCAGTCGCCCTTGTCACCACTGGGCTAACGAGGCAGTCGATTTAATTGAATTAATTATTTATGAATATTGAATTAATTATTTATGAATATTGTTATTGTACAAATGCCACTTATGTTGCTTAACCTGTAGTATACCGGAGCCTAGATCTACGCGTAGACACAATGTGTTTTCTATTGTGTATTGTGTACTATACTACAGTATAAACTTTGTTCTAGAATCTACATGTACGACGACAATCATTCGTTGTCGTCACCAGCAGCTGAGATGGACAACCTCATCAACGGCACGCATTGGTTCATGGAGCACCTCAACTTATAGTGCGAACACACAAATATAAGTAATGAAGTAAAAAATAAACAAAACAACAATAGAAAATGTAATAATAAACGCAAGGCTGTAAATTAAAAAAAAGAATCAATTAAAGTTAAAATGACTAACGACTGAAAGTAATAGTTTATTGTTAATGTAATCTTAATTTTAAACTGTCAAACACCAAGCGGTCACCGGTGACCGCAACCTATTGTTCTATAAGTGTGTCTATAATGACGGTACTCGACGAGTTAAATAGAAACTCTTTACAACTATTATCAAAAATCGATCTTAATCTATAGATTTCGGATTACGGGCCCACAGAAGATCAACTGACTCTCATCAGAGTCATCGTCAACAGCCTATAAATGCTAACTGCTGAGCAAAGCCTCTTCTCACACGGAGAAGGTTTGAGCATTAATCACCACACTTGCTCACTGCGGGTTGGCGATTACAAACTTATAATTAGAAATTATAAGCCCAGGTTTCCGCACGATGTTTTCCTTCACCGTTTGTCAGTGGTGTCTGAATAATCTTAGAAAGTACATATAACTCGGAAAAAGTCACATTGATACTTGCCGTTGGTAGGTTTCGAACCCGCACCCTCATGCATGAGAAGCGAGCGTCTTAAACCTCTGGGCCACCACGACATTTTCATCGACACTCTCATCAGAGTGCTAAGCAGGAAAAACTATCGCATATAGCACGTACGGCGCTCTGATTGGCTGGCTTCAATGAACCAACCAATCACAATCCCGCACGCGCTCGACACTATTACGTTACGAACGCGATAGTTATTCGTGCTTGGCACTCTGAACATTTTTTCATTGGATTTTCGACTTTGTATCTTGAACTATAGAGTTAAAAATCTGATAAAGAAAAACGGCGAAGCGTCATTCATAGTAGATGTCCCACCCACACGCACGAAGCGCTTCGCATTAAGCTTCCTTGTGCGTACTGCTAAAGAGTGGAATTCTTTGCCAGAGGACCTGGGAGTCTTCAATGCCCGAGTGAATAGGTTACTTATGTGCTCCATCGTAGACCGCATCATCGCTTGCCGTGGGGCGACGTGGTGGTCAAACGTCGGCCCATCAAATATTAAAAAAAAAAAAAACAGAAAGGAGTAGGTTTACTCCATCACAAAACAATAATCTTCATTGCAAGGCCTATGTAAGACAGTAAATAGGCTTACACAACGAGCTGTACATAACCAGTTTATCATTGGTCTCGTACAATATGATCTTTTCGCAAATTGGACGGTCAGCCTATACTGGTTTTTCATAGCTTGACGTGTTACCGTGTCCATCTCTTTTAAGAAAATAAACCCTTTGTGTAACTATCGTACTGAATTTAGATTTATTATAAGGAATGTACTGAAGTGGATGCCCTTTTGGCATGTGCACACGCACTACAATATTACTATTATATTAATATATTTTGTTTTTTTTTGTAATAGTTGACTGAGAATACAATTGGGTACTTGCCTTAACTCGTCGAGTACCGGTTTTGTAGACACAATTATAGAACAATAGGTTGCGGTCACCGGTGACCGCTTGGTGTTTGACAGTTTAATCAAAAATAAATTATTCCTAATGTACCATTCAATACAATAAATAATCACAGTTTCATTAATTGGTTTTATTATTTTTTCAAGAAATAAGTATTCTGTTTGACTCTAAAAAAACATGACGTCACAATACACAATCTCGTACAAAATTCATAGAAATCTGTCGTTTTTGACAGTACGGAAAAAGTATTGAATTTGACTAGTTGGCAAGTACCCGATTATAAACTTATCAATCGCAATTCCCTGATTGAATGGGGATTGTTTTCAAATTGAATCAACTCTGAATTATAATTTAATTGCAAAGATGTAAATTAAATGTCGTCAAATCAAGACTTATAATTGTATAAAGACTGCATTATTTTGTTTTATAAAAACGCAATCAAATTACCTAGTATATATGACCTATATACTAGGTAATTTGATTGCGTTTTCTTTAAACCAGTAAGTAAGTACATCATTTTGTATGTATTAATAAATCAGTTTTTCTTATTATGTGTGTTCTTATTATGTGTACTATTATAAAATCTTATTTGATTAGAAAGAAAGAAAGACATAATAAGACACATAACATAACATCACGCCTTTTATCCCCGAATGGGTAGGCAGAGGTGCACATTATCTACGGCACTTTAAGTCACTGTACAATGGTAAACCCACTTTTCACTATTTATGTTAAGAGTCCTATGTGAACCTATAACCATATACCGGGCACAATTCCGGACTTCGTGCTACTACTGAGATTTTTTAAAAACCCAGTAATATTTTGCCCGACCCGAAAATCGAACCCGAGACTCCTTGCCTGGCAATCGCACGAGCGAACACTCGGCCAACGAGGCAGTCAAAATAAGACACTTTTATACTAAAAAATCATCCTTTATCCGGGACGTAGATCCACGCGAGACAAATGGGGATAATCTATCGGGTCTCGAAATACCGGCACTCAAGAGATAATATTTAAAAAAAAATGTTTTTCAATCACCAATTACGGGTAATAAAATTGAGTCCATAGATACAACAGTTTGAAAATGCATTCTTAATAATTCGATGGAACCTATGACTATAGGCACTAGAGCCAATATTATTGCGGAGGGTGGCCAGTAAAACAGGGGCTAGTAACAAATGGTACGGTAGAACAAAAGTGCCAATAAAATTTAGTTCAAATTATATAGCTACGCAGCTAATCGCCCGTGTGATCGAAGTGTAGTGGAGACAAAACAGAAGGATCATTCAGGCCTATTTTTTGTTATATTCGATTTCACTTACTGTCTGTTTAGTGATGAGAAGTTTTTTTATTTACTAGCGACCCGCCCCGGCTTCGCACGGGTGCAATATGCATATATTATAAACCTTACCTAAGAATCACTCTATCTATTAAAAAAGACCGCATCAAAATCCGTCACGTAGTTTTAAAGATCTATGCATACCTAGGGACAGACAGACGGCGGATTAGTGATAACACCTTACAGGTAATTCCAATGCAATATCATATTTCCTGACATAGTTAAGTCCAACATGTATCTTAATTTATAAAATTAATGTAACTCAAATACTTATGACAAACATATTATAACACAGAAACAATTACTCAATACGGTGAAGTTGGACTGTTTAGTTTAGTTGTTTAGACTAGTTACTTTATTTGGAATGTTTCGTGAATACAATTGTAGATATCGACTATAAACGGCCGGTACGGCATTTGTAACTTCTTTAGTTTTGCTGGTGTCCATGGACGGCGCTAATCGGGTACCATCAGGTGATCCGACCGCCCGTTTGCATCCTATTTCACATAAACTGTATTAAAAAATAGTATAGAGAGAGATGTGTCAAAAAATCATGGAGACGTGTAAAGAATTGATATATTATAGTAAGTAAGCTAAGCTACCTCCCCCATGCAGTAGATACGTCATACATCATCACTACATGGTATTAAACAAAGTCGCTATCGTCGTCGCCGTCTGTCTGTCCCTGTGTATGCCTAGATCTTTAAAAGTAGACACCGGATTTTGATGCCGTTTTTTAATACATAGAGGAAGGATCTTAAGGAAGGTGTATATCTATAATACATGCATATTGCACCTGTGTGAAGCCGGGGCGGGTCGCTAGTCAATAAATAATTGGACACATTATTTTCTGAGGAGAGAAAATCATTGAAATTACTCTTACTGACTAAAACCTAACTCCAGGTCCTAACTGGGCTGATGTATATCATAACGCTTTACTGGACACCCGCAACTTCTGCATTTACTGGACACCTTTATACTCATATACGTGTAAAGTTGAACTACTATAATTTATGCCCAGTGGCGGTATGTCCCCTACCGTAACGAGACAGGTGTACAACATGTGTTACGAACGCTAAGTCCACATGTTCGGACGTTTGTGACGTCATCAATTAGTTTTAAGTGCTACCCAAGTGAGAAACACGCACTTTAAATTCACATAATCATGTTTATCATAGATATGAGTATACTTAATCGTTTTATTGACACTAATAGTAATAGGACAATCGGTTTAATTGGTACTTTTCACATAATTATCACTAATTTTGTTGAGGGCAATTGCGTAGGTACCTTGTTTTTCTATGCAGTCAAACCTATCACCGACGACGTAATCTAGATTTAAAATACGACGTGGTATCGAACGCGCGATGGCTGCCGTCCAGTCACTGCTGCAGTAAAATTTCTGCAAAATAGGTACTTACTTATCTAGTTAAAATACACATCTAATTCGATTTTCATTGCAAACGGTTGTTCGCCTGTAGAGACATACGCAACAAGTTATCGATTTGTTTTGACAATAACACATTACCATAAATAAACAAACCGATAGAATCACGCTGTTAATGATCTTCATAAAATGGCGTCGATAGAAGGGTTATCGAATTTTATGAACCCTTATCAAGTTTATTGTTACGCCTGATAATTATTTTTCTAACCAGAGACAAGAGCGTGACGAGATGTAATGATATTGTAAAAAAAATATTTCCCGCGTTTTTCACCCTTCGCAGCGGCCATATTGTCAGGTGTAACCGCCAACCGGAACGCAGTCGTGCCAGTCGCCGGGTCCGTATCCAAATTCATCCCTTGATATTAAAAAATATAATTACAAATGGGATTTTATAAGGTTAAAGAAAAATCTGCTCTATATTCTACAAAATTACGTATAAGTTTGATTGGTTTCATTTTCATTGAGCTTTGAAGGGCAATGACGTCATGAAGAAAAAAGAATAAAATATTCTGGAAAGATCTATGAGTAAAGGGTAGGTAAGTACCGACAGCACTACTATTTTTAAAGAGATAGTTGTAGAATTATAAATAACCACCCTAACCTGCCTAGGCAGATTATTTTAGCTATTTGTCAATGAAACTAATAATCATGCCTATACCTACAAATAAAATCGTAGCATGACCGTGATGAAAGCTATAACCTAACGCTAATTTAAAATATAAAAAAAATTGGACATTGCACACCCCAGAACCTTACCTAGTCATACAAATAAAGAAACATAGCAGACCAATAATAATGACATCACCAACACCGTTCGATGCAAGTAAGTACCCACGGTGAATTTCAACCTCATACCGATTTCGGTACATTTGTACATTTGTACAGTCATGACACACTTAGCTATATCTACATATATATAGTCTACATCAAAACTGAAAGGTCAAATTTCAGGTTACAACGACCTTTGCCCCCTTAGTCATTACATTTCAGATTACGTTTATGTAAATTGTACCTACCTATATATTCTAAACAAACGTAACGCCTTCGTAAAATCACGTTCCATGCTAATTAGATTGATAATAGATTTTATTGAGATCCAATGCAAAGAGCTCCTGAAGTATCCATATCTTGATTCGAACGTCAAATAAGATCAGGGATAATATACGTCCCCGAGAAGTTAAACTCTGTGTTTGTCCCGTGGCATGTGGCCAGGCACAAACAATACCTAGATAGCTTTTTTTAAGGGGTGAAAATCATCGAATGACTGCTCCCGCCTGGTTGAGGCGGGAGAAAGTGTCAGACTCTTACTGACTAAAAACCACCCCGTTCCTTCTCCTGCACGTCGAGCCGGAGCCCCGGTAACCCCTTAGGTTTTCCGCGACTAAACAATAGATAGCTTAGAGTATCATTTGGTGGGATCTAACTGCCATCAGTCAGGGAAAGGTAAAAGATCTGACTACCAAACCTAAACTTTTTCAGAGTCGCGGAGAACCTAACGAGTTAACCCCATAAAAAAAACCTAAACTTTTCAGAGAAACGATAGTTATAGTACAAATTCTTAAAAAAGCAGTTTCAAAAGTGAGAATTTTCCTTCAGTTAACAAGCGGCTGTATTACCAATTCTCAATGGTAGCATGTGTGCTGTTTCCATAAGACTTACTGAATCATTATCGAAACAAAGTAAACAAGGGGTCTGAACGACATTGAACAAGCACTTGCCTTAATTCTCTATTTAGACGGATCAAATATATTGAAGCTTTACAAATTAATGTTAATTTGATGTAGTTCCAGCATTTTCTATGTATGAGGGTACCGTATTTAAAGGGAAGTTTGTATGTCTGAATTATCTATAAGTACATACCTAAGTATGGAAATAGGAACAATAATAAAATAGTAAGAATGTAAGAATAGATATCATATTCTACGTAACCTTTCCAAATATGGAAGAGTGAATCAATTCCTGAATTCATGGTAGGTTCAAGAACGTTATTATAGCTCGATATCAAATTTGCGTGGTTCTTCTAGACATTCGCTCAAAAATCTTCGTGGAGGTACTAAATGGTAGTTTAGTTAAGGTCGATATTAAAAAAAACCATGAATGAGCAAAATAACAACGTTAATTGAAAATGTGAGTGATATCACGGAAGTACCCGCACGAGCCGGCTCGTGACGATATGCCTCAGAAACAATCGATCAGGCCCGCACTTAGAGCATCAGGGATCATAAAACAGACATTAATATTAATACTTAGTTAATGTTTGCTGAAAATAACTGTACTTTGTTCTATTTGCGTGTTTTCCACATCAAACTACGTCATGATGGTAGCAACTTCTATGGAACCCAACATCGGTGGTGGCAGGTTGGTGCACAGTGCCACATCGGTCCGGTCCTGGGTCCGATAACCGTGACTAATTGTCCGGAGCTATCAGCGATGCGGGCCGGCGTTGTCTTGCGGTGGAAAAATATCGATCGCAGCACACACCTGTTCGGAATCGTTCGACGGTGCACACAATGGGGCGCGCACCTGCCCACTAGCTCGCGCGCCGCCGCTCCGCGCGCACACACGCACTCGACGCCGACGCGACACCATGCGCGCGGGGGGGCGCCGCTGACCGCCGCGACGTCACACCGGCCGCGCCGTCGCCGATCGATTCCCTTCGGACATCTTGGACAACACCGTCCACCACCTCCTTTTTTCTCAGGTAATACAAGTCAAGTGATCAAGTACTTCCATTACCAGTGTTTCATTATTCATAATTCAAAGAAATCGAAGTTTCCGATATTAGCTGATTCATCAAATACGTGACTCACCAGTTCTTTGTCGCAATATTTTCAGGGCGAGCGATGTAGTAGGCCGCGATGCATATAACGTCAAGCCTGTCTCCGGCGTCCGGCGAGATGCTGGACACGGCGTCGCTCAATTTTTACGGAGATGCAGGAGACCAGTATGGGACGACGTACTTCGCTGTGGACCACACGGTCCCGGAGTCGTCCCACACAGTTGAGATAGAGTATGTGTACGAGCAGCCAGATACCTATGCCATCAACCAAGAAGATATAGAAACAGATGTGCCTCAGAGTGAACAAGTCGTTGCGGCTGATCAAGTTGAATACTCTAAAAAGATTCACAGCAAACACAAGCCTAACAAGATGGTTGTAGACGAGGAGCCGGAGGCTGATCTCACGAATTTGACGTGGTTGCAGAATATTACAAACATAATGTCGGTGCCGCAGTTTCCGATACCTCCCGTTTCGCCGGCTCCGCAGGTGAAGGTACAGCCGCAGAACACGAGGTTACAGAAGTTTAATCAGACAATAGCGAAGTGTCAGAAGGACTTTACTGAGAACAAGCATGAGTATAGGACAAACAGTGAAAAGAAGCCGCCGTACTCGTACAGCACGCTGATCTGCATGGCGATGAGGTACAACAACGACAAGATGACGCTCTCCGCGATATACTCGTGGATCAGGGAGAATTTCAAGTTCTACAGGAACGCCGACCCCACCTGGCAGGTGAGTGCTATCGCTCCGGTAGGAACAGTGATTTAATAAACGTGTGGTCCGCAAACATTGTGATAAGATTACGTCTAATTGAATTTATGAATAGGGAGTCGAGTGTTTGATTGATAAGTTTATTGGATATTTATTAGCGATTGCTGATTACAAATATATTCGTAAAAACAATTTAAAGGGGGTCTTTTTAATTGTAAAATATCGTGAACCATTTTTTATCGATGTGTAATGTGTAGTGTATTACACAACTTGTGCAAAAGCCTTTCTTTCTTCTAAGTCATGGATGCCTAGTATATGACTTCTCATATGAGTATTAAAGAATTTTTCTCAACTTTCAGAATTCCATCAGACACAACCTGTCTCTAAACAAAGTGTTTGTGAAAGTAGCTCGATCAAAACACGAGCCGGGGAAAGGAGGCTTTTGGAAACTCGATCTCGCACATTTAGAAGGAACCAAACGAATCTCAAATAGACCTCATAAGAAGAAGAAATCAGCATCCAAGGAAAAAGCCACAGAGGAAAAAACTGCAGTCGCCAACATTCCGCAGGTCAATGCGGTAGAAGAAATGTCTAATGAAATAAATCAGGCTGTGATGCTGCACTTACCTGATTTCAATATTGGGAGCATTCAAAGTCTTCCTGACATTGATCTAGAGACGAATATCGGAGCTAATGTGATTGTGGAGCCGGCTGTGCCACCTCCTTTGATGCCCGAAGATGACCTGTCGTCCTTACTCCTCAACCCTACGGAGTGGAACGACCTACAACTAGACATGTTGGATAATTACCTGGACTCATGTTTCGAGTAAGTTTTTAAGCATTTGTTGTTAGTCGTATCTGTTCCAATTCGATGTTAGTGAGTGTATAGTTTCGTTTTAATAGTCGATGATAATTTCAAAAACTGGTGTATTTCGTAGTTGTCCAATTTTCTATAGTGACTGCGACATGAACTGTTTGTGCTTTTCCCGGGAAACTAATCTATAATTTTTAGTGTGCCTTTAAATATGAACAAAATTAACGATAGAAACAGTAGAATTTATGAAAGCCGTCCTTAATTAAACATATAAATATACATGACTAAATAGGAGAAAAAATTAATATTTATAAATGTAACGTCGTCGTCAGTATTCTGTGTTAACAGACAGTATTACCCTTCACGTTTTCTATCAACTGGATGTGAATAAATTTTATATTTATCTCATTTTGTACAAGATAAATAATTTAGTCTAGTCAATAAAAGGCTTTTGCGAAAGATTAGGTAGGAATTTTAATGTTGAATTTGTTTTATATACGTAAAATGTAGGGAGTCGTGAATTCATCTTAAGAAACACTATTATTAAAGGTTTAATTCAATGTGTTTAAAAAAGTCAATAGAGTATAGATTTTTATTATTTAAACATATCATTGTGTCGTACAAACACCAGAATCGATATCCTAAACAGTAATAGGATTAAATTGTGTTATTTAGGTTTTTTATCTAATAATAGTATTTAAGGCACAATTTATTAAACGAAGCCGTCCTGGACTTACTATATAGACACACTATCGTAACTATTATATTAAAACAGGTATAAATACCTAAATAAATATATAAATTCATAATTGCTGTCGGGGTAAAAATATCCACTTATTAAATATTTGTGTCTGTAGTCATTTAAATTAATATGGTCCTTAGTAAAATATCATAATGAAGTTATAAAGATTAAATAACAGTGTCTTTAGTTAAAATATGCTAGATACTTACATACTTAACCTCACGCCTGTCTCTCGGGTAGGCAGAGACTATGAATCGCCAATTACTACAATTACAAATTTGCAAAATCTTATTATTAAATCTGGTGATTCTGAAAATCAATAGTTTGTTAATTACAATGAGTTATTCATTATAAGAATTAAAATTGTGGTTACAGAGGTATGAAATACTTCAAAACTAATTGTCTCAAAATTGATAATTTTGCTCAATCAAAGCTCAGTTGTTTGCCTAATAAATTGGGTTACAAATAACATGACAGTATTATAAAACGTATGCACAAACAATTTGTAGCAATCTATTTACTTGCTAGATTGTAAATCTATGCGTTGTAGAGTTAACAACTAAGAATGAACTTGAAACCTCCCGGTTTGAAAGTCGGTTAAAAATAAAACAATTAACTGATTACATGAATCGATAAGTAACTATGGTGGTAAGTCATTAATATTGGTCAGCATTCAGTGGGTTAGTCATAAAATTATTGATTTTTCTTACATGAGAACATTTAAAAGCCATTTATGCAATGTCTGTGTGAAGGACAAGAATTATATTTTAATGCTTTAAAATATAAATGAAAGATTAAATTGATTTTACTTCTAATGTTTAAATTATAGTCCACTAAATGAAAACTTTTGGAATAATGTTTTATAATAAATAAAATTCCAAATAAATGCATGGCAGTGTACTATTACTATAGTAAACATTATACATTATTAGTTGTTAACTTTAAAAACGCTATAAATTTAAGCTTATGTAAAAAATGACGTTTACCGCTCAGTATTACAATGTACAAAGTATTAGTAAATTAATTTTCTATTTCTAAGGAGTGTGGCAATATTTTATATTTATACATGTAATTATATATAATATTATCTTATTTTGTAAGTGTCTTATGAAGCATTATCAGATAATCCGTCCAGTATTATAAACAGTCAACTGTTTTGAGAGAATCTTGCTCAGAGAAGATATATAAATATGTGTAAAATCTGAAAGCAATTTAAGAGTGCTTAAGCTTAAGTTTATTATTATTCGATCGAAAATTAAAGCTTTTTTGTATTCTACTATCGAATACTATTTTGAATTTATCAGTATATGATACTTAGTAGTGCTATCAAGGGTGTAATGAAGCAATAAATAATTAAAATGATATGCATATTAGTGTCTGAAATTTTGGGAAACCATCACACACTTCATTAATTCAACAATATTATAATATGTCTTGTTACAGCTAGCTTACAAAAAATATATCCAATAATAGTATGTACCCAACTACCCATTATCATCTCGTAATATTTGTATTCATATACATAGTAACTTTATTATTAGCAAATTATTATAACTTGTGTTGTGTTAGATTTTATGTGAACAAACACATATGTAAATTAATTTATGTGACATGCACAATTAGTAAATAAATATGGTGTTTAATAAATATAATCTGTAAAGTCTTTAGATTTAAAATGTAGAAAAATCTTCCGTCCGTGAGTGTCTTAAAGATTTTATGTATAAAAATAAAGAGGTATCTTACTGTATACCTTTCTAGTTTCTTGTAAAACTAATAATGAATTGTTGAAGTGGAATATTTGTTAATTAATAATGTGGTAAATTATTGCCTACCAACGAGTCGTTGGTCATGCATTGAGATATTGAACTCTATTTTCTGGTCGGGAAAAGTATTATTGGGCTTTTGTACTTGGAAATTCTCTGTATTAAAAATTGTTCCCGACTCACAATGTGTGACAATTTGGTAACAGACTAGCTCCCTATAAAGGAGGGAAATTTGAGTATACAACCTCTCTTTATTCTTATGAGGAATGTGTTGTATATTTATGTGTATTATAATAAAAATTCCCCATATTTTTAAAATTCAGGCGTCGCATTTCTGACACTGAATCGATATGAAATGTAATAACTAAAGTGTATGTGAAAAAAGTACAAGGTTTATATGCCTTTTCTTAGACGATTTATCTTTTACGCAGACAAAGTGTATTTAAATAAAAAGGGGAATGAATTTTGTATCTAACGCTCTAAGAATTGATACGCAGGCGTTTTAATAAATCTTGAAAAATAATTATAATAAAAAATAAATAAAAGTATTTAATTAGACATTCCCAGTTATGTCTTATAATGTTAAGTGCCTGCAACATGTACTAGTCATATTAATATTGTGTTTACGTGTTTAGAAATTAGGATTATAGAAATGTGAAAACGAAATATGTATAATTGTAATTTATTTTGTATAACTTACAAACAATAATGTATAATTATTTTATTATAATTTCTTGTGGCACAAATATCAATTTCTAATTACATTTAAAAATTAAGTTGTAGTACTATGTACTATTTTTAATTAGTCAAAACTTATTACAATTTGGTACGATTTAAAAAATAATTATTTACTTACTAAAAATAATAATAAATGAAATAAGTAGTAATTTTTATATGTCAAACAATACTGAACTAAAAAGCATTTCTTTTAAAATATGTTTTTAATTAAATCGTACTGAAATTGTTTGGTATTAAAAATGGTTGTTTTGTAATTGATCGCTCAAAACATTACGCGATTTCATGTTTAGAAGTGTCCTTAACATATTCAATAAAGTGTTACAATGTAATATGTTGTTTTCTTTATCAATTTGTGTACAACATGTCCTTTATATATTACACATGGTTTATGATATGTGAAGTTTATATTTCATATATATTTGAAGTAAACATGTTAAGGATTTTAGCTACTTATTAAATACGCTATATTACAAGAATTCAAAAATAATTATTACATTTTTTAATACTTTTAAGCTCCATTTTGGAGCTAATATTGCAGATATTTTATTTTTATTTATTTAAAAAACGTTGCCCCACACTAGGATTATCTCCTGTGTCGTGGGTGGGCTAACAAACATACAAGTTCACATGCACATGACACCCAGGCCCGAAACAACATTTTGTAGATCGCACAAACAGTTGTTCAGCGCGGGAATCGATCCCATAACTCGTTGCGCGGTAGCCGGTTGCTCAGCCACCGCACCAAGAGTGCGGCAGTCATACAAAATATGTAAATAATTACATAAAATTTTATTCAATAAATTCATAGAGAATGTCCGTTTTGTTACTATTCTTTAGAGGTATTAATTATGACTAGTTCTACTAGTTGGTCTAGGTAGGTACATGGATATTTGAATATCAACTATCAAAACATATTCTAAACAAATATTCATAAATCCTATCGTTTTTATTACAAAATGGAATGTTAGTTTTTGCATTAATAATACTCTCAAAGCAAATGCTTGCCATCATTGCAATAGCCGCATTAATATTACCACTGGGTAGCGTTGGCAACACTGATGCATCCGCAACATATAGATGTTCTACTCCCAAAATTTTAAAAGAAGTATCGACTACAGTATTTTTCGAGTCTGGTAACCCCATAGAGCAAGTACCTACAGGATGGTAGCTTGTTAATGTCAAATGTTTTATGTAGCAGTCAAAGTATGAATCTGTAAAAATCTCAAAGTTTTCACAACTAGGGAAATGGTTTTCGTTAATGGAACCTCCGACTTTTTGAATAGCTTCTGTATTAACAAACTTCATGACTAGTTTCAAACCATTAATTAAAGTGTCTCTATCATCCTTATGAGACAAATACCTGGGGTCCAATAAAGGCGGTAAACTAGGGTCAGTACTATTAATAATAACATAGCCTCTACTCTTAGGATGTAATATCAAAGGTAAAATAGTTCCTACATAGCTATCAAAGCTTTTTGAGAAATATTTATCCCATATTTCATCTTTTAAATTAACATTATTTTTTAATAAACTCCCTCTATCTGAGGAGAGTCCTACTGGCAACACCATAAATTGTAAATCTGGTTCTGACTGGTTTTTGGTAGAAAGGAAACCAATTACTTCACATCCTGGTGTTGTCCATGGACCCTTTCCTTTAATAAAATATTCTAAAACATGGAATGGATTAATCATATCCAAAGCACTAATTGAAACAGATTTATTAAATAATAAAAAATCTAATCCAGTACCTATATGATCTTGGAGATTTCTACCAACTGGTAGATTTTTTATCACTGGTATACTTAAAGATTTAAGTAGATTTTCAGGCCCAATACCTGATAGTTGTAGTATTTTTGGTGTATTAATTGCTCCTGCAGATAATAAAACACCTTTTCTTGCATAAATCGTACTATGCTTACCTAATGAAAGGACTTGAATGCCACGAGCAGTGTTGTCATTAAAAATTACTTTTTCTACCAATACATTGGTAATAACATGTTTTGATTCTAAATTGTCGGAAGTGGACCATCGTTTTCCATATTTTTGACTGACTATATTTTTTCTGAAACCTAGTTTGAAATCTTTGTCTAAGTTCGAATAACCTAATTCTTTAGCTGCTGTTAATATTGTGTTGGCTAGTTCACTTTCATACTGTACTTCATTGAGATGTAAAATATTATTTTCTATGTATTCAAACTGTTTTTGAATGTACTCTTTGGCGTATTTACCATGAAACCAGTTCTGATAGTGTGTCAGATTACCACGGACATGTATCATGTTGTTCAACTTTGATGACCCTCCAAGAATCTTGCCTTGAGCTAGTTTACATCTCTGAAAAAAATAATATTACAAGTTACTTCAATACATAGTATAAAACAAAGTCGCTTTCGCTGTATGTCCGTATGTATGCTTAGATCTTTAAAACTACGCAACGGATTTTGATGCGGTTTTTTTAAATAGATAGAGTGATTCTTAAGGAAGGTTTGTATGTATAATACATGCATATTGCACCCGTGCGAAGCCGGGGCGGGTCACTAGTATAAAATAAATTGAACAATATTTTAAAATTAGAAAGAATCTCATTTGTCGAAATCCTTGTAACCACCAATCCACGAAATTATTGTATTTTTTATAAAATAAGGATAAGCAACTTACTCTATCCTTCATAGCAAAGCAAGCATGTTCCTGAGGTACAGTCTGATACTGCCAGTCCAACAGCGACCCATGGAAGAATGGGCCAAGAACCGGTGCCTCAAGTAATGCATGGCTTCTGATCCCTGCTTCCACCACTATAAAAGTATAATTTGTCTCTGTTGCTAGTCTATGGGCTATCACAGAGCCAGCTGTGCCGGAACCAACTGGAAATAGGAAATATGATAAAAATATCGTGCAATAACTATCCTAGTTATGGTATATCTACGTTTTTTGTCGTTATGTCGTCTGCATTTTTTAAAATAAAAGAAGCCTATTTTACTCCTTAGTACCTACCAATAAGCCCCGTCGGTTAAAATCGGTCCAGCCATTTCAAAGATTAGCCAGTACAAACAGACAGACAAAAAAGGTTAAAAAAATTGTAAAAATGAGAAAGAAAAATTATTTTGGTATATTTATCGTATGCATATTCATAACTATGCATGTGGTAAAAAGCGATTATTTCAATATTACAAACAGACACTCCAATTTTATTTATTAGTAATATAGAAATGTATATTTTTATTATGCCTCTTTATTGTTTTAATTTATTTGTATATTTGAGTGGGTTGGGTTTTTCAGCAATCTCCTTTATATTGTACAAAAAAGTGTCATGTGGGTAGTGTCGATCGTATCTGTCGTGTTAGTCGTATCTGTCGTGTCTGTCTGTCACGTCTGTCATGTCCGTCGTATATGTCGTATCGGTCGCGTTGGTTGCGTTTGTCGTATCTGTCGTGTCAGTCGTGTTTGTCGTGTGTGTCGTGTCTCTCGTGTTGGTCATGTTTGTCGTGTTAGTCGTGTTTGTCGTGTCAGTCGTGTTTGTCGTGTCGGTCGTATCTGTCGTGTCGGTCGTGTTTGTCGTGTCGGTCGTGTGTGTCGTATCTGTCGTTTTTGGCGTGTCGGTCGTGTTTGTCGTGCCGGTAGTGTTTGTCGTGTCGGTCGTGTGTGTCGTATCTGTAGTTTTTGTCGTGTCGGTCGTATTTGTCGTGCCGGTAGTGTTTGTCCTGTCGGTCGTGTATATCGTATCTGTCGTTTTTATCGTGTCGGTCGTGTTTGTCGTGTCGGTCGTGTGTGTCGTTTTTGTCGTGTCGGTCGTGTCTGTCGTGTCGGTCGTGTGTGTCGTGTCTGTCGTTTTTGTCGTGTCGGTCGTATCTGTCATTTTTGTCGTGTAGGTCGTGTGTGTCGAATCCGTCGTGTCAGTCGTATCTGTCGTTTTTGTCGTGTCGGTAGTGTGTAAAAACTGTTCTATGTCTTAAACTATTGTTGTACTGAATTTCAGTCAATTGGTTCAGTAGTTTAAGCTGTTAAACATCAAGCGGTCACCGCAACCCATTGTTCTATAATTGTGTCTACAAAGACGGTACTCGACGAGTTAAGATATACAGAGTCCCAGGATTTAACACATAGTTCCCGTTATACTGGGATTTCTGGGATATTACTCTGGTACTAATAATAAGGCCTGGTTTGTAACGGAGCAGTGGCACAATGTTTTAGATGAAAGAGTAGTTATTATGGCATAACTGTAATGGTTAGACATACAATATTGCAGACTTTAACATTGATATGAATGCCCTCTATAAAACTGTATATCACTTTGCTCTATTGTTTATTATTTCCACAGGGTAAGCAATATAAGGAGTTTTTTAGGTAGTTTTTTTACACATCGGGTTGCATTATTGAAATTTTCATATGGTACCCTTTTTATCTCTTATTAAATATAGCCTATGTTCATCAGGGATAATGTAAGATTCCAATGGTAAAAGAATTTATCAAATCGGTATAGTAGTTTTGGGGCCTATATAATTCAAACAAAAATCAAATCATTCCTCTTTATAATATTAGTGTAGTTTTCAAATGTTTAGAGATTATTTTTATGTGAACATATTTGGTTAATTATTGTTAAATAATTTCAATAAATAATTTACTCACATGAACTATTCAAGAAACGGATTTATAGTTCATATCTTCAAAAGTGGAGATTAAGACAGTCAGAGTTTATTCTACATCATATAAGATGTTTTATTGTTACAAATCTATTCTAAGTTTCATAAAAATGAGGCAGACAGAAAGTAAGTAAAAGAAGACTTAATATATAAAACTTACCAATGATAAAGTCATATTCGTGCTTAATTTCTTGATAATATGCTGTTGATAGTAAGTCACTGTAGTAAACAAAGTATATAAACAACGTAGATATATTAACACAAACATTAAATAACAAAAACTGACAACAATGTACCGGTAACATAGTGAATTATCATCATAAACTAATATTTAATTACAGTACTGCATTTTTGTTTCATAAAATCAAAATTATTCGTCATTTGTGTTTAGGTTATATTTGTTTACAATTTTTGAAATTTGAATGAACTTCATTTGACATTGACAAGTCTTGTTTTGACATTAGGTTTTTTTATTTGAAGGAACGTGGTCTTTTTAGAAGATGAAATAACTTTCTAGACTCCGGCCCGCCGGTGGCCCGTGTTGCTCTATGCTTTCTAGACAACTACCCACATTCGTTTATAATCTGGTGGACGAAACAAAACTTTACCTGAAGTTCGTAAAGACTGTTGTTTTTTTCAAAGTAGTACGCAATTTAGAAATTCTTCTATCTGAAAAAAATCATGCCCACCTTTTGGTACAATCCGGGATTGCTAGGTGCTAGGCAAATGCCATATAAACTAAGCAATATTTATTTAGACAGACTGTTTATGCACTTGTGAATACCAATGGAAAGTATAGGTACAACTGCGCAACCAGAGGTAGGGTTAAATTATTTGCTAGGGTTGTCTGGAGTTTAAAATTTATTCAAAGGAAGAAAAACCACAGATTATGCTATATATTATCACATTGTATACTTCTTTATTATTGAATAGCTACTTAAATATTATAAATATAAAACTTGATAGCGTACATTCACTTTATAATAAAAAATGATGCTACTTAACAATAGAGCGCAGAGGCAAGGAGAACTACATCTTCTCTCTTTAGTCATAACGTCAGTTCTGAGGTCAATGGACCATCGAATAAATTCGTCACTATAATAGGACACATTTTCAAATAGCATTTTTCCTAAAGTAATTAAATAACGGAGGTAGTTCCCCTTACGACTTTCGTACAGCTTATTAAAAATTAAAAAAAAAGTTACACCATTACCTACTCACGCTTAGACTACGATACACACATTCAGACGAACATACTGGAAATTATTTATAGCATTTGTGGTTTCAATTTCAGCCTATCAATGGTTTCTTGTGGCATACAGTAAACGGGGTTGACTGGTTTGATCTTATTATTGCCGAGTAATGAGAGACCGGCTACACCGAAGAGTGTGTGGAACGGGTCTGTAATGTCTCCTGGTCGGTCGCTGAAACCGCCCGTGTCTGGGTCCTGGCAGGCCATTATGAACTGCTCCAGTCGCTCTTTGTCTACCCAGCGCATCTTGTTCAAGATTTTTAGGGATGATATTACCCACCTGGAAAAAAATATTGAAATAGAAATTGGTAAGTTAATTTCAGTAAGTAGTTGTTTTCAAGAAAGACAGTTAAAAAATACACACATTCATTATTAAACATACATACATAACATCACGCCTGTCTCCCATGGGGGTAGGCAGAGACTATGGAACGCCAATTACTACGATTCCTACATACCTCTTTCGCTTCATCAACAGTCATCAATCTTTTCATGCATGCTCATTATTAAAACATATAAAAAAATATTTTTTACCATGAATAGCACAAGTCGGGTAGTTTTTCAGGCCTGCCATTCAGGCCACCGCTGGGCAGTTGACGTTCACAAAGCCACCAAGCCAAAGCATCCACTTTGAGTGCGTCCAGCCTCTTGCAGATGGAGAGAGTGCCAACACAGCAGTAAATGAGCCCTGGTAGAGAAAAAAATTGAGAATAAAATTGTAATTTTCAATAATTACTATTTTATTAGGTAACTAGCTACTTCCGCGCGGTTTCACACGCTCTGCTCAGCTCCTATTCGTCGTAGAGTGATGTTTTATAGCCTATAGCCATCCTCGATAAATGCGCTATCCAGCACAAAAAAAAATATTCAAATCAAACTTGTAGTTACGGAGATTAGCGCGTTCAAATAAACAAACAAAAAATCAAACTCTTCCGCTTTACATAATAGTATAAGATATGCAATGAAAGACCTTTTTTTTTTTTTTTTTTTTTTATGGAATAGGAGGCAAACGAGCAGACGGATCACCTGATGGTAAGCAATCAGCGCCGCCCATGGACACCCGCAACACCAGAAGAGTCTAACCTACAAATTACTCTTGCTCTTTTCAGGCCTTTTTAAGCTTTGATGCTGTAAAAACGATTTAAGTGAATACTGTATGTCTACGATTACAAAATTACTTCCAAATTATTTGTTAATTTGTGTTAGTTTTCAAACTTAATCAGCCTTTGTTTTTGTCAAGATTTTGATCATTTTAAACTTCATAAGTGCCTTAGCAGATGTTTAATAGTCATATTTACAATTAAAACACAGTACTTCAACTCACCAGCATGACTCTCAGATCCAGGTTTGGATCCAAACCCTCCGTCAAAGTTCATGCAGCTGAGCACAAATTCAACCGCCTTGTCAACATTGATGGCATCCAGTCGATGCAGGAGTGAGAGGCACATCACTGCACAGAATGTGAACCTCGTATCTTGCTCGCCCCAGATATCACCTGTATAAACAAAATGTTTAAATGTGTGTTTAGGATATTATCACTTTTGATTTTTTTAATCACTCACAGATTTGGACTCATTTATGTATTCCTAATACAAAGTCTGTGTTCTAAGATTTAAAATGTAAGAAGCATGCGATATAGAATACTGTAATCTGGGTGCCACAAATGTACTAAACATAATGTTACTTAGCAGGTCAAATTAAAAGATGTTATGACTCAGAACTTAATACTAGTAGAGAGCATTTATTTATTAACAAAGACCGGCATACCATAGAAGCTCCCGTCAGGTTGTTGTAGCGACGCCACAAACTTGACCACACCCTCAACATCAATGGCATCCAGCCTGTTGTACATGGTCAAGACCTAAAAGAACAAGGTTTTTCACTTAAACATTATTAAAAAATAACTGAGACTAGTTATAGACCAATTTTAAATATGAAGATACTTGTTTATAAATAACTAGCGACCCGCCCCGGCTTCGCACGGGTGCAATATGTATATACATACAAACCTTCCTTAAGAATCACTCTATCTATTAAAAAAAACCGCATCAAAATCCGTTGCGTAGTTTTAAAGATCTAAGCATACATACGGACATACAGCGAAAGCGACTTTGTTTTATACTATGTATTGATTCATATTATTTAGTGACTATAGTTCTAAATATATATGTAGGATCAGGGTCCGTCATTATTTGAAAATAAAACAAAGAGCTTCACACAATCACTTAGTTTATTTCGATTAAATGAACTTACTTTCACATTAATTTTTAATTATAATAATTGAATAATTCAGCACTGATTATATAAAGGAAACACTCAAATAAAACCAACAATAAAATTACTCAGCGATTGCGTAACGTGTGAACTGGGCAACGATCGACGAACGACTGACTCGAGCTTGCGCTTGCGCTGCTTTATATATCACTCGGTGGTGGGGTTGAAGTGACGTCGGTCAGTTGTTTGTTCACTGCTCGCCCATTACATTCGCAGTTTACAAAATAATGACGGCGG